CATTTTGTCTATTAAGGAATGAATGCACTTTATGTATATGTTTGCACAGCAATTTATCTAAGCAATTGCAGTGATACAAGTGACTACACAATGAGACACATGATACTTTAGGGCATCTATAAAAGCAAAAATCCTGACACGGACAAATTTCAAAAAGACGCTGCACAGTATATATTTTATTTTTTGTCTGAGAAACAAACAGTCCAAGAAGTATCAGAGCATTTATTTACATCACTGTCCCTAATTTTTAGTCCTCTCTGATGCCTACTTAAACAAGAAATGGAATTTCTGGGAGATACATTAGTGTATAATTTATAGGTATGATTTAAATATTTATCTTTCTCAATTGTCAGAAGTGTAGAAATTAAAATATCTAATCGTCTATTATGTCTCCGCTTAAAATAAACAGTTTTCAACTGATTGTGAAAAGATTCACAGTACATGTTAGTATCAGTAAATGCATGTGGAAAGTTCCGATAACACAAAGCCCATTCCTTCTAATCTATTTTTATAATTTTCAGAAAAATATTCAATAAAATCTCTACTTTTCCTAGAATAGTCATTCAAAAACTTACTTATTTGATCATGAAAAGTGATCTGGTTTCTTTCATGTAATATTTTTGTTAATTCTCCTAGCATTTTTTGTCGTACACTTCCTTATCTACCACTTTAGAATTTAAGTTGCCGGAACCAACTTTGGCGTACGTGCCACGAACATAAAAGATGCTTAACATTTGACCAAAAAACCTTTGAAAATGCAGGATATGTAACTTTGTCATCATCTGTCATTACACAGTTTACATATAAATTTGGTACACGACACTTTAAACTATTAAATAAACAATAAAGAGTGTCAGCATCTAGAAAATTAGTAATAAAATGAGCAACTGGATAGCCACAACCAAATTCATCAGGTACTATAAGATTAAGAAGGTAAAAATCATACTGGTTAGTCTTATGTGTAGAATCGATACATAAAATCTCTGTACAACCTTTTATCATCATTTCTTTCTGTTCACGCGTGTCTGAAGACCAAGAGCAAACGATACTTTATGATTTGGAAGATTATCTAGATCAGTTGGACCGTACAAAGTTGAATTATTCTGAGGCTTATATAATAACACACAGGATTGTATGCTTCACATTTTAAAGTTTCAATGATTGAATTAACAGAAACTGCATCACTACTTGGACGCAATGAATTGTTTAAATATCTAGAATAAGCAGAAAATAGTTTTACGGGAGACAAAGCTTTCCTTTACAGGAAATTATTTCTATTCTCGCGATTTCCTGATCCATCTTGTAAGATATCCCTTATTTTTTGTGGAGGCACAGACAAACGTAAATTTGCTTTTATCAAACATCGCGTACTTTGTTTCAATGGCTGATATTTTACAATTTTCAAACTTTTGCTCATGATTATGTTTAGGAAAGTAAAAAACAGAGATTTTATTCATTTCTTCACAAGCCCATATTCTGACTGGACAACATACACTTTTTTGAAATTGTACCTTTTTTTTTTTTCCGACTAGTTTTTTTTTTTCAAAATCAGAATAACCTTGCGTGGTAAACTGACAACAATAATAATGATAAGTTTTAGAATTTTTCGTTACTTTAGAAAACTTTCTGAATGAAGTAAATGTCGAGGTTCCTTCCAGTTCTAGCCAATCTTGAAAATAACTCATTGTTTCAAATGAATATTCTTTTAAGTTATTTAAATTATGTTCATCTGCTAAATGCTTATTAAAATTTAAAACATATGTAAAAGACTTATGGCAATCAGGTATGAAGCATACATACAATTTATTAACTTCTGTGCAAAATTTCTTATGTTTAAAAAAATGATAATTTGCAAGGATAACATTTATTACAATTTAGACATTTCCGAGGGTAAACAGATGAAAAATTTTGTTTTAAACAGGTACTTGTTTATTTGAACATTTTTTTTTTTTTTTTTTTTTTGTTTGGTTATAAAATGAATTCTTCGATTTATAAGTTTTCAAGCATATTTCACATTTACGAAGATAAGCCATTTCTATTTTATCACTAATACATTCTTTGGTTTCTAATTTTTTTAGCACTCAATACATTATCAATGTTTATAAGAATATTACTCTGAGGAGAAGTTATTGAAAGTTTAAAATTTTCAGTTTCAAGTTTTTTCTTTGCAATTTTTTTTATGATTATTAAAAGAATTTTTAGTTTTATAGTTTTTTTTACAAATATCACATTTTCTAGGATAAAGCGATGGTGCATTACAGTCAATTTCGGACCCCCCTCCAGTCAGAATAGGACACATAGACTTATTTTTTCCTCACTTGACAATTAATTTCACTGCTTTCTACATGATCTTTTAGTAAACAAAATTTATTAAAGTGAAAGAAACTTAGGCCTGAACTACAAGAAGTGCTTTTTCTGGTCATAGAAATGTTCTTTTGCTGCAAAACATAACTAGAGGCAAAGTCAGAGTAAAAATCATCTTTTGTTGTACACAATTTAGGTTGTGAAATATCAAAATTTGTTGAATCATTTTTTAAACTCCCTTTGCCACTAACAGAAGCACAATACAATGGATAACAATCACTGAAAGAAACAGCACTTGCCTGCTGTACACTACAACCAGCAGCAGTGACTGCATTCTTTAGTGATGATCCCATGTAGGCCATTACACTTCTTAAGGCGCAAAACAGCTGAAGCAGCATTCTTTAGATGCAAACCGCCACTAACAGTCAAATCCCTCCTTGGACACAAACCATCACCAAAAGCACGAATTGGTTTCTTCTGAAAACTAGCAATTGGGACAGTAGTGTTCGTAGAAGAATTAACAGTGGAGCTAGCACTGCTCCTCAGAAAACGGCCAGAACCATGGACTGCAACACGCTTGGAGGAGTCAACATCAGCAAGGATATCATTTCTATGACGGGCTGGGAGTGATGTTTTTCCTTGAATGCAAACCAGAAGCAGCATTCTTCGGATGACAGCCAGTACCACGGACACCAACAAGTCTAGAATGACAGCCAACACCGGGAATGACAACATTCTCAGGACTTAGGCCTGGGGTAGCAACGTTCCTTGGACGCAAATCAGAACCAGAACGAGGGACGGCAGCATTCCTTGGACGTGAACTAAAACCATTGACATACTTAAAATGAGAGCCAACACTACATATGGCAACATTTCTAGGATGACATCTAGGTTTAGTCCCATTCCTTACATGCAAACGAGAACCAGTTCTACAGGCAGAAGCGTTCCTTGGGCGAGATCCACAACCATGGCCAGCAATGCAAAGAGACCGAGAGTTAGCATCTGGGTTGGCAACGTTTTTAGGATGTGAGACAGGGGTGGTATCATTTTGCAGACGCAAACTAGAACCATCTGTGGGGTTAACATCATTCCTTGAATGAGAGTCACCACCATGGACAACACATTTAAAACGAGATCCAGCGCCAGGAATAGCAACACTCTTCAGCCGAGAGCCAGAAGCAGCTTTAGCAGCATTTCTCAAATCAGAATTAGCCTTCTTAGTAGCATCTACAGCACAACCATGCTTTAAAAACAGTTGAATAGAGAGGATAAGAAGGGCTTGCAGAAACAAAAGAATCACTCAGAGGTGGAAAATCCAATGTAGTAAATGAAACACAAGGCAATACAAAAGGACTTACCTTTGTAGAAACTGGCTTTGAAGTCAAAACAATCTTGATATTATCCAGGAAAACTGCCGCAAGTTTCTTGTTCCCCAGACGGTTTAGATGTAATCCATCCCTAGCCAATAACTTAGCTCCAAAATGATGAGACGACCTGCAAATAAAAAACGCTTCTCGATTTTGGCAGTACTTTTCAAGTTGAGAATTAATTTCTACAATCTTTCTATTAATTACCTGTAAACGGTTCAAAGCTGCTACTCGCTGATTTAAAGTTGTGAAAAAAATCTTCACCACGTGGTAGGATATCTGAAATGATAACATTGATATTCGGGTTCAAACGTTTAATATCCTTAAAGAGGCAATCGTACTTTTTAAGAATATCTTCAACACTGTCATTCGAATTGTTGGTACCAACATGTACCAAAATCAAATGGTATCGATTGTCCAAAAAGGATATCTTACGTCTTAACCTTTCTATCGTTGCACCAGGAAAAGAATGTAAATCTACTTCATAATTCAGAAGATTCGCCGGTAAATATTCATCCAAATATTTAACCATTGAATCTCCAATTATAAGTAATTTCATCTTTTTTTGGTTGCATATCGGCAAAACAAACAACTACAAATCGAAACACAGATCAATAATTATATATGCTGTAAATAAAATGCAACTATAAATTAAATGAAAATCAAACACTAATCATAAATATAACAAAATACAAATAAATTATTAATAGAAAAAAAGAAGGTAAATAGCTGAAGCGAGAAAAATGGCGCAAAAAATACACACCTCACACTCGCTAATTAACACGTGAACTAAATTAGCGCCAATTCTTGACCTCGCGGCAAAATTTACGGGAAAAAAATAACGCCAAATGCTCGCCAAGCTTTGTTGCCAACGGAGATATCAAAGGTACATATCCGGTGATGACGTAGAACACACTTCCGGGTTCCGATTTGCGGAATTCTGTAAAACTCGACGGGTATAGTCCGGAGAATAGCCTTAGTTGCGCCAACTTAAGGCTCCTCTATATAGAAGCCTTACGCCAACTTGGCTCCTTTAAAAATATGGGCGACATTTCATTATGCCAACGGAAGTAAACATCATGTGAGGAATAGGCGCTAAGGAGAAAAGGAAAATATATGGGGAAAAGTGGGATTAAGATGTGTTTATATTTGTTTGGTATCTGATTGCTAATTTGGTTCTGTTATATTGCTAAATATTAGCATTAAAAGTCGAGTAATGTGCGTTTATTGCGAAAACGCAGGGCAATTACTTTTCTATCCGATTTCATATATGTATAATTATCATATTCCTGCTTATATAATCTACATATAGGGGATGTTTCCATAACCGGCACTTGGCGAAATTGCGGATTTGTTTACATCGGAAGTGAGCGTACGTGCGCCAGAATATGGTAACCCTGATAATTGTTGCAACCCAAAATCCAAGATGGCGGCCAAAACATAGCCAAGGGCCGTTACGGAAAATTTCCCTACATATATATCAGATAACTAGCTACTTTTGACACTTATTTCTGAATGTGTATTATTTTACAACTTTTTCTGCTTTGAAAACCCGAGTATTGAAACATTATGTGTATGCTTGTGAAAATATTATTTCAGATATGCTCTTATAACTAACTATACTATAATCTCATATTTATTCAGTTCTCATATAACTACAATAGAAATATGCTTCTATTATTTACTTTAAATGCAGTATTTGATAGCCTTCCACATAGTAGCCATTCTAGAATTAGTTCTGTAATGTTATATAATGTTTATTAAATTGTCTTATGCATTATTTTGTCTAAATATCAATTTTCATAAAGAATATATATAATCAATGTAGAGAATGCGATTTCAATATATTTTAAAGACACAGAGATAATAAACAAAAAATAAAAGTGAGACTACATATGCAACCAGATAAAAGTTATCTATTTTCTCAAGGAAATCTTTAAAATCACGATGGTAGAGTGCGTTTACTAAGATTCTGTTAATAATCGTAATTACCAAGTTTATGACCTCAACTATTTCGGCCTAAAAGGTTTGGGCACAAACAATAAAAGATGTCACATTTATTTCATAAAAGGTGCGCATTTTTAAATTCATTCTTTCTTCATTTGAATAATATACAAAGAAGTAAATATTAATTTCTTTTTAGTATACAATGTAGAAATTAAAGCTCAAAACATTAATTATTGGGTGAAATGCATTACAGATATTAACACAATTAATCTACCAATAACTCTTCTTGGTACTTTAAAATATTTATTTTCATTTAACTGTCACTTATTGACGATCAACTGATTTTATAAGTACAAAATCAACTGCGGAATGTGTATGTGTTTGTGCAGTAAAATATCGTTGTTTCATGTTGTTTCTTTTGTTATCGTGAAAAGTTTATACCGTTTGTAAAATTTGTATCATACATTTCATGTAAACTTTGTGCTCAGTTAGAAATGTGATGTGCCTTTTTCTTTAATTTTACTGTACGATTGGTGATTTAAAGTAGCATTCTATGTTTTGAATTTGATGTATTGTCGCCAAATCGGATAGTTGGCGCCAATGTTAAAAACTGGATGGTATGATCCAAATAATAAATGATTTGTTTTTCTTTATAGTAAGATAAATATATTCTGTATTTTTAGACATTTTTAAGAAGGTTAAATATTAATTTAAATATTCGATGAATCGTTTTGATCTCATTATTATCCTTTATTGTAGTAGTAAATCTTAATGTTATATTTTTAACTATAGGTACTTTAAATTTATTTTTAGTGTGTGAGCAGGAAATATGTTTTAAGTAGTTTTACAAACATGATTACTTTTTAAAAATTTTGTTCTATTTTCATAAAAAAAATTTAAATTTATCAGAAAATTACATTCTTAAATTAATATAATATATGTAACTGTAATTAAATACTAGTGCTTTTGATTTTAATGTTAAATTTCATGCATGCTTTTGTTAAATATGCAGGTACATTTGAAGAAAATCAATTTGAATGCTCTAGGCAAGATGGGCATAAAAAACTCAAGCCCAATGCTGTGCCAACTCTTTTCAATGTGCCTAATCCTCCACAACTGTTGACCCCACAGCGTCTAAAAGGCATTGGTTTACCAAAGCACCGTTCAGTTACATCCAATTTTTGTAATGTATGTGTTTTTTATTTTTATGGTTTTTCATAAAAAAATATGTGGTTGATCTTTACATTATGGTAACTTGGCGTTTTTTTGGCGAAAATTTGGCGACCAACTCTCCTACAGCAACCCTCTATTTTTTTTTCCCGCCGCCATTTTGTCTTCACCGAAGTAAAGACATGTTTCTTTTCTTTTTATCTACTGAACACTTCTTCCAACAATCTACTAGCCGAATTACACTTATGCTAGAAATTTTATCTAACAAAACTACTTAATCATGACAAATATTCACTGCAAAATTGGGGAAAAGTGCACAATACCATACTCCTTACGCGTTTTTCAAAATAACACATACACATAAACCATGTACGTGCCGACTTATTTTTACTTAAAAAAACATCCCAGAATTGCACAAAAATGGCATTGCGCACACTCTTCACTATATCCATGTACACTGCTTTTTTTTCTCATAAATTAGAAAAATTTCACGAAAATACATGACAATTTTCTCAAGCTTTAAACCCGGTAAAAAGAACATATATGAAATTACCTGATCGCGAAAAAGTATTTACTCTTTCCAAATATGAACATTTCCACATATAAAATAAATAAAATATCCAAAACTTTTACCTCTAAAATCATCCATTACATTATACACGTCACCAACGAATTCATACCGCAAGCATTACAAATACTTAATATCAAATATTTAAATTATTCCATGCACGTTTACTTCAACTTAAACGTATACCAAATTCCTACAAACATAAAATTCACAAAATAAACTATCATTTAATTAAAAATCACTAAACCATGTACATGTCGACTTATTTTTTACTTAAAAAAAATCCAGAAATTGCATAAAAATGGCATTGCATCTTTAAAACCCGGTAAAAAGAACATATGTGAAATTACCTGATCGCGAAAAAGTATTTACCCTTTCCAAATATGAACATTTCCACATATAAAAATAAATAAAATATCCAAAAACTTTTTACCTCCAAATCATCTATTACATTATACACGTCACCAACGAATTCATACCGCAAGCATACAGTACAGTACTTAATATCAAATATTTAAATTATTTCCATGCACGTTACTTCAACTTAAACGTATACCAAATTCCTACAAACATAAAATTCACAAAATAACTATCATTTAATTAAAATACCACTAAACCATTGTACACGCCCGACTTATTTTTACTTAAAAAAAACATCCCAGAATTGCACAAAATGGCATTGCGCACACCCTTCACTATATCCATGTACACTGCTGCTTTTTTCTCATAAAGTAGAAAAATTTCACAAAAATACATGACAATTTTCTCAATCTTTAAACCCGGTAAAAAGAACATATATGAAATTACCTGATAACGTATACCAAATTCCTACAAACATAAAATTCACAAAATAACTATCATTTAATTAAATATAATTAAATTCAAAAAAACTACTTAAAATATAAATGAAGCACATACATTAAATTAATAAAAATTACCTTACAATGCTAATTACTTTTAAACTAAATCATTGCTAATAACAATTTTCCCAATAATACCAAATTCCTTTACTTCCACCTTACATTTAGAACAATGCATAAAAAATAATATCCTCAAGTAATTAAAAAATACTAACTTACCTAATCTTCTTCAGAATCTTGATTACGTGTCCAATAAACTTTTCTTTAGTTACGGCCATGGGATCCAAAAATTCACGAACACTGTTTCACACAACACAGAATAAACCAAATACAAAATTTCCAGATTTTTTCCCGATTTCCCCCCTTTTCCGATTCAAGAACCGTAATTCGTCCATTAATATCACATGACATATCCCATGATCTCTGATTTCCCTCGCACAAAATAATGCGTAATCGGAACTGAGTACTGCTCACATTATTACCAAAGTCCCAGGTAGTAACCTTTATCGCCTCCAAAATGTCGCCAAACTACCAGTTACCATATTGTAAAGATCAACCAAATATGTTTTTATTACAAATGGACTAAATTACTTTATAAAAGAATCAAAATTTTGAAATTAAGGTATTATGTGATAAAACTGTAATTACAGTCCCTAAGATTACATTAAAAAATTAAAATTTTGCTGTTGTTATATATATAATTAAGTATGTACTTTGTTATTATAATCATATATTGAAAATTAAGCATAAAACCTCAATTTGATGTAGTTTTTGGATAAAGTTTTTGTAGTTTTTCGAGGACAGGTCATACATGGGTCTGGTTTCTTCAAATTTGCTCCTAAAAGAAAGAAACCGGTATCTGATTGCCTTCAAAGTCAAAAGAGTTTAAATCAAAATTTGTATTAAACTAAAGTTGCTTTTTTGCTTAATTTTAAATTCCAGATAAATAGAGAGAAATATTTATGGAGTAAGTAAAAGAAATAATATTGAAATTAATAACTTTAATCTTGAGTAATACAATAATATAGTTATAATACATTGATTTAAATGTATATTTTAATGTCTTATATGTCTTGTCTGAATGTTATTTTTTGTTTAAAGATTTACAAAACTTATTAGGATTATTTATATTATTTATTATTAAAATTACATTAAGTATATTTTATTTATCAGCATTTTCAGGTATCCTTACTTATATGTGTTTCATAATTTTTGCATCTTCAGGGTGGCTTGCTGCACAGTTTACCTTTATCAACTGAAGCGATTTCTGTTGCTGAACCATCTGTTGTAAGTCTTCATTTGAACAGTTATTAAATATTTAGTATTATAAACTTTTTCTAAAAAGTATTAACACTGTTTCTAAAATTTAAAAATATATTAACGTAATATTTACTTATGTTTAAGAAGTATGAATGCTATGAACAGTCCAATGTATTTATGCTTTTTTATAAGTTGAAAGTTACTTTTAAAATGGTAATGATTATTTGTATTTATTTTTATCCGATCAGAGTTTATAATTTCTTTCACTTCCACATATTTCATATATTATAATTTCTTTTAGGTTCATTTGCCACAACCTTCAGCTTCATATTTTGGAGAAATAAATTTTGCTGCTGAAGTATTTTAAATGTTTCCATCTTCATAATCATGCACTTTATTTCATTTCACCAGTGGTTGCAAATGTGTACATTACAGTACATCTCAGGTGTGTTTGCAACAACATTTAGCATTACCTTCTGATTAAATAACAGCTGCTAGTAAAGAATCTATGCTATGTTTTCATTTGAGCAGCTATTAAATGTCATATGTTTTACATATATTAATGAATTTTTATACGATTTCTGAAATATGAAATTGTTTGTCTTATGGTTGCTAAACAGCTGTACTATATCTGGCTGTTGTTATGGAATTATTTTTGAATTTTGAGTGTTAACAATTTATTATCTATTTATGAATTATAAAATGTTATGTAAAATAATTATTTCTTAAAAATGAATGTAGTTTATATTATCTGTATTTCTAAATTTCTTATATATATATTTCAGGTTTGTTTGCAAGAACAAGCTTCAACTTCATCTTGTGATAAAATGCCATCTATTTGTGAAGGATCTCATGTAAGTAGATAATTAGTGTATTATTAAATTGCTTGCTTATACAAAACGTTTCTATAAACTTTTTTTTGGGGGGGGGTAAAAGGAATGTAATTAATTTCATCAGCATTTACAAATTCTTTGTGTACATTTCAGGTTTGTTTGCAAGAACAGCCTTTAGCCTCATTTTGCAATGAAATACCATCTATTTGTGAAGGCTCTGATGTAAGTTGATAACTAATGTATAATTAAATTGCTTCCTTATATACATTTAAAATGTTCTATAAAGTAATTTTTTGGTAAAAGGAATGTAATTAATTTCATCAATAGTTGCAAATTCTCTATGTAAATTTCAGTTTTGTTTGCAAAAAAAACAACCTTTAGACTTCATCTTGCAACCAAATTGTAATTAATTTTAATTAATTTCATCAGCATTTGTGAAGGCTGTGATATAAGTTGATAATTTGTGTTATTAAATTGCTCATGATTATGGAGATAATCGATCCCTTGAAAAGCTGGAAATAAATTTTAAAAATCTATTTTTAAGTGAAATAAATTTTAAATATTAGAAAATAAAACAAAAATAATCTAGAAAATGCTGAAAACAATAGAGTCAAATTTAAAAACCCACCACAGTATAGGAAAAGAGACCTGGAAGTTGCATTTTTATTTTGTGGATTTATTATCTGTTTAAGTTTGGCATTTAATCCAAAGGGGCTTTGTCCCTGAAGGACTATTGTTTTCGTTTTGTATTGAAACACTATAAACGGCTGCATCACTTTTCAAATTGTTGCCACCAAATATTATCACCCTGTACTATATTTAAAGAAATTATATAGTGAAGAATCTGCATAAATGCATGTATGTTTTCGCATTCTGATAAAACAACGGTACCTAGAGCCATCAAATTTTGAATGACTTAATTCTACTGTGAATATGGACATCTGGAAGCCCGAATTTGAAATTCGGAATTTGTTTTAATATAGATTTTATATGTTGTAAAACTTTAACGAATTTTTGATTAACAAACTTGAGGATTTCAAAGCGAGCAATGGCAATGTTGTACAGAAAAGACACTTTTATCTCCAGCGTGTGAGACAATGAATCGGGAATTCTGAAGATATGCTCATTTTAAAATTATCTTGCAATATTGCTGTTGAACTGAATTTTATAGTTTAAGTGTAAAAAACTTGATATTTAATAAATAAAGGTAAAACACAAAATGTCAAAAAAAGCCCCTTTGGGTGTAATTTAAAATCTGAAACCTTTCAGATCTTTTTTGTTTGTTTGTTGTGTTTCCCCCCCCTTCTTTGATGATTATTCATATAGATTTTTTCTTTATTCCAGGATGTTCTTTTAAGGAATTTTTATAAAACAGCAGACTGAATTGATCTCGCTTCTGCAATGCCAGAACAAAATATTACTGAAAGAACTTAGAGCAACCAAAAAAAAAAAAAAAAAAAAAAAAAAGAAATTAATGTTTTAAAAAAAAATGGCATAGCACTGAAATTCAACTTCATGACCTTCAAGTACAGCATGAGGAATTGCTGAAAGGAGTGAGTGAAAACATTTCTTTCAGATGAACAAATAGCAATGTTGAAAATTCCTCGTAGAAGCATTGCAAAATGGTCTAACAGGGGAATAATAAAAGGCCTCAAAGTTAGATTTGCCTTGGGCAAGCATGGTTATAATTACTTGCACAGAATAGGTTTTCCTGTGCCTTCATACAGCACTTTAAATAAAAGACTTCAAGGTCTTGAAATGAATTTTGGAGTCATCAGTGACATGATTGAACTTTTGAAAATTAAAGGAGAAAAAATGAATGCTAGTGATAAAGACTGTATTTTATCATTGGATGAAATGGAGATTTCTGGCAATCCTGATTTTGATATTTCAAAAACGTAAATTTATTGGTAAATGTACATTAGGAAATCAAAAGGGTGCAGGAAATCACTATTTAGTTATTTTACTAAGAGGTTTGAAGCTGAAATGGAAGCAAGTGGTTGCCCATGAGATAACTGGACAGGTAACAGGATGCCAGCTCAAACAACTTGTTGTCAATGTTATCGAAGCTGTCAATTCTTCTGTTGGATTTAATGTTGTTGGTATTGTTAGCGATATGGCAGCAGTAAATAGAAGCCTGTGGAATTCTTTGGGAATATCTGTTTCTCGAAACCAAAGAAAGAAAATAATTTCACTACAGAAATTAAGAGGAAAATTATCTATGTATTTGCAGATGTGCCACATCTTTAAAAAATATCTGGCCTGCAACTCTTAATCATAGTATAAAACTGCCCAGTTATGTTTGCTGTAAAGAAAACTTGGTTACTTCGCATGTATCTGCAGGATTTATAAAAGATATCTAGATTACAGAAACAAACCAAAATTGTGGTTTGAGGACTGTGCATCATCTCAGCAAAGAAGACCTCTTCCCTTCACATTTTGATAAAATGAATGTTGCTTCTGCTGTGAGGTTTTTTTTCAATTAAAACAGCTGTAGGATTGGAGAAGGCAGTAGCTTTAAAAGAGGTACGCCCTAATGCTCTTACAACAGCATGGTGGATAAGATTTATGTGCCAGTGGTTTCAAATGCTATCCTCTAGACATAGAAAGAACTCAATTTCTGGGACAAATAAAAGAAAAAAAAATGAGTTACTTTTTGAGTTTATTAATGTTGTACAGCTTGTAGAAATTGGTAAAGGGTGGAAACCATTACATACTGGTTTGATTCTTTCTACTTTATCAGCCATACAGTTAGCAGAGGCATGTTTTCTGAATGATTTTCAGTTTATTTTGACGAGCAGATTGACACAAGATGCTCTAGAAAATGTATTTTCTCAGATACGCAGAAAAGCTGGTTTGAGGCCAAGTGCTTTGCAAGCTGTGAAAGCATTAAAGCTTATCTGTTTATCTCAGTTTATATCTGACATTAAGAACTCCAGTTATGCTACTGATTCAGATATTTACTTTATTAAACTATGCGAAAAGATGAATTTGAATTTCTGAAGGAGAAAAAAAGCTTTAGAGCCTGTTACCATACCAGAAGTTTCTGATGTATCTCTACAGAATCTCACCCTTAGTGAGGAAAATAACGTCTGTTATATTGCAGGAGCTGCAATAAATTCTGTTTTGAAAAATGCTTGTAATTCATGCTCACAGTTTCTCTTAGTTTGTGAGCAAAATACTCCTTCCATTGATGAAAATAAGCAGTACATAATTAATTTTGCAAATTTAGGTGGGCTTAAATGTCCTTCTCCAGAAATTTTTAAATTGTGCCTTCTGTGTGAAAAAATAATTCAAAATTTTCGAGACGAAATAATACATGGAAATGTAACTATGGATGTGGAATTTGTTAATATGATTTGTAAGAAAGCAGGCGAGGTAAATATTCCCTCCTGTTGCAATATCAAAACAAAGATAATAAAATATTATTTGACTGCCCGTGGAATTGGTCTCAAGAAGCTTCTTCAAAATAAAAGGCAGCAGCGGCAAAGTTTTGCATCTCCTGCTTTTAAAAGGAAGAAAGTAAACTAGAATCTAATCAAGAGTTTAAGAAGTTTTTGCTGTTCAGTTCTGTCTGTAAAAAAGTAGAGTAGTTGTCACTGAAAAATTGCTGCTTGTCTCTTCGAATAATAATTAGGCCCACCAACAGCTGAATGGTTAAAGTTACTGAATGCTGGGAGTTCCATCTTCTGTTCTATTTCCGAACAGGCTGGCTGCATGGTTGGTTTTTTTTGTGGTTTTTCCCCATGTGTAATGTGAATACAAGCCAGTTCTCCTTAGAAAGTCCTCTACAATAGAAGATCTCATAGTCAGCTAAATCGGATTTACTTTTGTGTGACCTTAAATGAGGCATCAATTGTGAATCTGTTTTGGCATGTTATTAGGAATTTTGAATGAAACATTTATTGCTGTTGTGAAAGAATGATCAACTGATGTTTACCTTACTAATCAATGTCTTATAGTATTGTAATGGCTTGCAGGATTTTTCATAATGGGATGTTGCATATGTTTTACTCTTCTTTTTTACCAAATAAATAGAGTATGTTCCTAATCAGACATTTCTTCTTTTGTACCAGGGTTATGTATAGTATGATGTGATAATTTGGATTTGTTTATAGAATACATAACAGTATTTTTTGACATTCTAATAGAACCAGTGTATTTTATTTATTTACTTATTGCTTTAAAACAGATTTTGAATCAAGGCTTACTTCCCACCCCCTTTGAGTATGCACATAAAACATGTTTAAGCTATATTTATAATATATCAATGAGATATATGTAAATGAAATAAGTCTCTTAGGTTAGCTCCTTTAATGGAAAAAGAACAAAATAAAAATGATATACCTTGAAAACAAGAATACTATCTGAATAGTGTTGGCTAAGATTTATTCAGATGGTTTTTTGCATTTATTCAAACATCTCCGCATATAAATGAGAATTAATTATATTATATTAGTTTTAAAAGTAAAACTAATATAATATCATTCTATATAAAGCTGTTTGATGTATAATGGAAAAAAATTCAATTACTGCAGTATGTTTTAATAAAATTTGAATATAATAGAATGAATTGCACTACATTAGACAAAAAAGCAAAACATTTTTATTTATTTATCTTTATTTTCACTATATGTGTTTGTCATATGTTTGTTACTAGAGGACTTATTTTATAGATTTGAAGCTAAATAATATTTTTATGTTTTTACTTATGCAAATTAATTAATAAAAAGAACTGTGATTTAAGTATTGTCTTTGCTGTGATATAGATTGAATCTTATTATGTTATGGAATTATCATTTAAATATTCAGATACGTGTAATATTAAGAGCATATGTATGTAAGTATAATTTTTCCAAGTATAATAAAAAGTAACCATCAACAACAAATAAACTTATAAGTAAATAGTATCTGTAAATTCTGTATGTAAAGGTATTATTTTTATTTTATTTTATTGTGTGTGTGTATTATTTTAATATTGTTTTTAGCTAAATAAAGAAAAAAAAAAAAAAATATTTAATGGAATTTTTTACTCTATTAAATCTATGAATCCCACAGTCATCTGAGCATTGAAGTAATTTTTATAGCATTCTGCACTTCATTCTAAAAGCATTATAATTTAAAGGTGTATATCCTGAATCAGTATTTAAAATCATAAAGTGTTTAGCAGCTTTTTCTGGAAACATACACAAAATAACATTTTTAACAAATTTGCTACAGTAATAGACGTTTGATTCCATGTGAGCAAAATTCAAATAACATATTAAAAATAAAAAACAAGAAATTAAAGATTAAAAACCTTATCCTAAATTAATGGAGGTTGAGGGATTTCCCTCAACCATATTAAGAATGTGGTTGAGGGAAAGCTCTTGTCAAAAAATACATTTTGAGATGAATAACATTATGCGTGTATTTAAAAAAAAAAAAAAAAAAAAAAATTGAAAATTCAATAAAGGAATTCAAAAAGAAAGTATTTTTAACTAAAAATACAAATTTGAAATATGATATGTGAAAATGTTTTAGAAACTTTTAAAATAACTTGAATCATACGAGAAATTTGGCAATTTAAAAAAAAAAAATACGAGAAAGAATCTGAACTGCAGACAAAAGAAGGGGAAAAAGCCACACATTTTTATATGGATGCAGAAAAAAGCTGAAATTCGGATTCTCTAGAATGTTAAATTTTAGCGGACAGCGCTAAAGAGCCAAAGTTGCCGCTCCACACCTAAATTGCAACCCTAAAGCTTAGATTCAAAATGGCTGACGAGTCAGCCTGTATCTCTAGTAGCTCTAATACACATAGGTGCCGTGTGACCCCGTGCGCTTTCGGAGATTTAGTGCCGACCTATTTCTGTAAGCTTTTCATAATTTTCGGCAGTTGCAGGGAAAGCTGTTAACAATATCATGTGGTCTTGAATAGGGTACGCTCGTTAGAATGAGGTAATGCATCTTGTCCCCGTTTTGAATTTCCTTATCCTCATGTATTCGCCGAAACGGTAACCAATCCTTAATGTCGCTACCAAATTGTTTTAACTCTATATTAGGTAATTTCAGTTTCAGTTTATTCAAATTTGGCGGCATATTGCCAATAGACTGTGCCATTTGGCGGCTGAAAATTAATTCTGGGTTTAATTTTAGTATATAGTAAACACGAGATTTAGCAACATTATGGTCAGCTGTAAACTGGTCATTTTTGTATTGGCGACAATTTTCAAAATCATGCCAAAGCCGTACCGTATTTCTAGGGTTTACCTACTTTTGTTTTCCCCTCGTATCAAATCTAATTTTTCTTTGCACTCTTTAACTTTTGTCCATTCACTTTCAAACCGATCATTTGAAGAAAATTCTAAATTCAGTATCTGAGTATCAAATGTACTAAATTCAATAGATAAACATTTTAAAGTAACAAGTTTCGTTTTCCCAGATTTTTCATCGGGAATTTTCATTTCTAATTCCTGCAAAATTGCATTAATTGTTTTCGCAGAAGATGTTTTGACAGGTGCTTCGTTTCTAAACTGACGATTCCATTTCAATAAAAATAAATTCTTTAAAATCTTAAAAAATTAAATTTAATAAAATCAATCAATTCTAATCTTGATTTCTTTTATGGATCACGTCCGATGTCAGCAATTGTTCGAAATTTCCGAGAGCTAACCTTTCTCTTCTTTCTCCTTGTAAACTTAAAAAATAAAATAACAACTTCCATTCCAAAGCATTATGCTTTTATTATTTTCAAAATTCCGTAGAACACTCTTTTACAGAAAAAAAAAAAAAAAAAAAAAAAAAAAAAAAAACTATATTGCCATTTTTACAATCTCAAACTATGAAAGAAAGGCAAGCATGGGGGCTTGGCCCTAACTGAATAGACTTTAAATCCATTTTACAAGCAGGTATGGAAAAAAGGAATCCTTTATTATGTTCGTACGTACAGATGTAACTCAAAAACATCGTTCAGATGGATTCAAGAGTGGAGAAATTGGATATTTTCGTTGAAATATGATTTCCGAAATTTTTCACGATTACAATACTTTATTCACTTCGTTTAAGAAAATAAAAACTGTTGCTGGTAATTGCCACGTTTAGTGAATTATTTTAACACCAGTTAATGGCAACGAAATCTATTTCTTCATCTGCTGGGCATAAACAAATAGTCAACGCAGAAAATTTCTGATAGTACTGCTATTTTAAATTAAGTGTTTAGTTTTGAAATTTTTATTGAAATGGCCGAACTTTGATATGAAGGAAAGAACAGCTAAAATTTTAAACGAAACTGGGATTTTAAAACTTTTGGATTTAAGGAGCATATCATTTAGTACCTTTCACTATAATACTCAAATCTTCAGTTTATGGTATCCAAAGTAAAGAAATTATTCATTTAAAAGGATGAATCTCTTTTTCTCAATGGCAGGAACGTTTTATCCAGGTTAATACAACACCCTAAGGATTTGCGGTAAAAAAATGAGCAAGGATAAAAAATGGAATGTATGTCAAGAAAAGATTGCAAAATATACATATTGGATTAAAATCATTGCACTAGAAATTTTGATGGTAGTTTTTGGATTCGGAAATTCTGTTCGCAACAGTTACACGGACAACTTATTGTACCGTAGAATATGTAACGAATACTTAAATAATGACACTTACCTGTGTTTTGCAATTCAAAATAAGGGCAATTTAACGAAAAAGTATTTTGAAATTAAAGACGTGTTAGATTTTGCTACAACACATACCTTTGTAATGATTGGAATGAGAATTTTAGCTGAATTTTTTTCGTCGTGCTTTTTATGCTCTTGGAGTGACAAATATGGACGAAAACTGTCATTAATTCTGGCATTTTTGGGCGGAAACTTGGACGTCTCATCATTTTTCTTTAGAAATATTCCTATGGTATATTTCATGTGGTCCATTTACCTAACAACAATTTTCTCTGGTTTTTTCGGGAGTTTTATATGCATATTTGCAATGACGTACAGCTACGTGTCAGATCATTCTTCATTAAACTACAGAACACTGAAGTTCACAACAGTAGACGTATCATATATGTTGGGGGAAATAATTGGTGTTAGATTTTTCGAAAATGTTCCTATGAAAGATATATTACGTGACAGCTTTCTATATGTTATTTCTGTAAGGATATTTTCCATAATGTGGATCTGGTTTTTCTTTGAAGACAGAAATTTTGATGGGAAAGGACATCAAACTTCAAAAAAATTTAAAACACTTTTCATGATATCTAACACGAAAGAATGTTTTGCTTCAATAGGAAAATGGAGAAAGAAGTGTGGTAGAGAACAGATGAGGTTAATCATATTCTCAGCAATGCCAATTATGGTTGCTTATGGATGTAAGTGAAATCTATATATCAATATTTTATAAGGCCTAATTATGGAAACTTAATGGCATATTTTATGAATAATTTAACTGTGTACTTTTCTGCAATCGGGACCGGATTCAGAAATGTGTGTATGTATGTCTGTGTGTATTTATGTATGTATGCATGTATGTATGTATTTATGTGTGTATGCATGTACCTATGTATGTGTGCGTATACACTCACGCATGTATACCATTGCATACATACATACATACATTTCTGAATCTGATGTTGATAACAGAAAAGTACCTTTAAATGCTTAGGTATAAAGTATTTTCTCAAAATTATTATAACAGGAAACATCATGCATGTGGCAAAGGACACGTGAGCGGTTTGTTTGTGGAAAACCTTCTAAGGAAACAGGATATGCTTTCACGTTACACATATAGAAAACCACGAAAAAGCCCAATGCAGCCATTTGCAAATCGAGTTGTCGGTGGTTTTATTCTCTAGATTATTTAGTTATCCATTCGACTACTGTAGGTCTTCTGCTCCTTTTAGGTCATTATTAATATATGTTGTGACCTAATGGAAAAGAAAAAAAAACACTTTGAAATTAAATATATTTATTATTAAATGCTCTTATCACTAATCTGTACTTTGTAGTTCATACGACTAATGTAAGTAAATTACAGTTTCATACTCTTTTCAATTTAAAAACTTTTAAAGTAAGAACTTTTAAAGACTTACTTATAGAAAGACAAAGATTTTCAAAGACTATATTATGAAGTTTATTTTTTCCTTTAACTATCATTTCCTTTTTATTTAATTTTATTCTTTATTTATTAATTTCCAATCTATATTATCATATTATATTTGGATTATATTAACAAAATTATTGTAAACGGTGTTATATGCCCCACTGTAAATGGTACCAACTGTAACTTTTGTACAAAATTAATAAATACCGGGCATACTGATGAAGGGCCTGATCCGCACCGGAGGGGACGGGCCTGGAGATATGAGCAGCGATCATTCGCTGCTTGGTGTTGCACCACTCGATCCTCTTGGGCCCTGTGGGGTGTGAGCATATGCAAAGTTCTGGTGCTCCGTCCACTTTTTCCTGTCCCTGTTCAGTTGCTGAGGTTTTTACGCCTATCCCCCTGGAAAAGCTATTGATAATGTATGTTATTTATGTGCAATTACCACGTTATGTGATAGGTACGCATAATAGCATAACGGTTTAGTAACGTCTGATCATTGTGAATTATTCTTAGGAATAATTCCACGGAAATATCCACAAAGGCACGATGGTATTTTCCTATAAGCCTGTTCCGTGGCGTACAGTTAACTGCATGTAATAGTTGTAAAATTATCAACGATTTAAAAGTTGTCTAAGTTACACTAAGCCTAATGGAACCACCATTTGTTTACTTTTCAAAACTCTTAGTAGAATAGTGAATTAAGTCAGTTTCTACACGTTCAATGTCTTTCTGCCAAGTGGGACCAAAAGTAAGCCTTGTCCATTTTCCGAATTGCTTGTTTTTGCGTAGAAACTCTAATTTTAATTGAGAAAATCTTTTTTTTAGCTGTTTTAACTCTATTTGTTGTTTTATGTTTTTGTAATTTGCAATTTGTAATGAAGGTGTTTTGAGTTTCATGTATTTTTGCCTTGCAGCGAAGTTAGAACTGAATTAATTGAATGAGAAATGTATCTGTAATGAAATTCGAGGAAATAAGTTTAAATAAAATGCAGCAAACATATGTATCAAATTAATAGGCCTTACAAGAAAGTCATGTAGTTTCCACATAAAATTTTTTATATGAAATAAAGGAAGTCTTTTTAATTTATTACGTGATCCGCTTTAAGTCACTACACAGAAAGGCAGTGATGCTCCATGGAGGACGTTTTAAGGAGAATGGCTCGTATCCACGTTATGGAAAGAAACACGGAAAATCCCATGCAGTCGGGACATGAACCCCGGACCAAACTACCAGTGTTCATCGGCTTTTACCACTTGGCCGCTGATGGGTCTAAAGGAAGTATTATAATCGCGAAAAATTCTGGGTAACATATTTCAATGGAAATATCCATTTTCACCGTTCCTGAATCCAGTTGGACGATTTGTTTTTTCGTGATATCTGTATTTACGCATAGAATAAAGGACTCTTTTTTTCCAAAACGGATTGGTTTCGAAAAGGTTTTATTTTTTTCATGAGGTTCGTATGTATGTATCTCGCATAACTCAAAAACGATTAGCCCTGGAACGTTGAAATTTGGTAAATGGGGCTGCTATAATATATATATATATATATAGTATATATATGTTACGGCGAAACACCGAAATCTGGAGAATGTCGACTTTCACCGGTGAATGTCAACATTCACATAGACGCTTGGTGTATGTCCGAAATATTCCAAATACTCTTATTTCTGACTTTCACCGGTAAATGTCGACATTCACCATGTACTAATGCTGAATGTTGAACATATAAGAATATTATATTTTCTTCTCCGTAATTAAGTCGCGAAAAAACGCACTTGAGACTTAAAATAAGAACTTAACATAAGAATTTAAAACACACAGTAGATTCAAAATGAGAAAGGAAAACAATAGAAGTTAAAAACTTTCTAAATTATGTAATTCAAATCTTATTTATTGCAACAACTTAAACTATTATGGCACTTTGAATTGCACAAGAGGCCCTTGCTTTTACAACTGCATTTATTTGTGGAACACTTCTTTTTGCAATGACAGCGTGTACATATACTCCTCTCTTTTCGACCTACACCAAAGCATATCTGTGATTGTCGACATACACCGGTAAGGGTCCAAATGTACAGGAATGTAATGCAATATTCGATCTTTCACCGACGTATTTGGTGAATGTTGACATTCTCCGATGAAAGTCGACATTCTCCAATTTCGGTCTTTCACAGTAATATATACACAAATATATAATATCTAGTTGTGCGTTTCTCTTTATTGCAATTGGCAATACCAAACGTTATATATATATATATATATATTATATTTACAACTTTAACCGACTTTTATTATATACTATTGTTTATGTGATGATAAGATTTAGTAAGTAAAATGCTTGACTAGGGAAGACATAATTTTGCAGTCTCGGATAGATTGACTATTTGAAGATCACTGAAAATATCAATTACGTAGCAGAAGATGCCGGGAACTTTTAAAGAATCATAAAATCACTTGATATTCCAGATATATCTTTATTACTTGTTGCACTTCACAATGGGGGGCAATCTGCACCTCACAATTTTGATGATGGCACAATTTTGATAATGACAAAAGCAGCCGAGCAAGAGTTGTCCTTCAGCCAACAAGCATAGGCAGAGAAAGAGGGAGGGTATGAATGCTTGAATGCGAATTGCTTATGCAGCCTTGCGGCTTTTATAAGCTCTGTTCTTTTAATCCCTAGGGAACATCACAGTGTAAACTATCAACTAAATCCCAGCCGGGAAACGGATCAAGGTAGGAAAGAGGACCCGTTGGCCGCGAAGCGCGAAGTCAAGCTAAGATAATCGTTAACATAATTACCACTTATCAAAGAGGTGATGAGAAATATTCGTAACCCAAACATACGTGTGCAAATGTAGCGATATCAAGTTGTAGAAAAATGAACAAATAAACAAATAAAGTGTAAATTAATAATATTTACAATGAGAAATGCAGCAAAGTGTGTGCTTAAGTGACGAAATTGTGCTCATGCATTCTGCGAGCAGTAAATGGCAGGGAGGGTAGTAGGATTGCAAAGATATTTATAGTAAAATTCTTCGTTGTTAAATTTATAGTAAAATTGTTCGATTGGCTAAAACTTATATGCAAAGAAGTTTCAAGATGACATAATGCGGAACACGCTTTCAGATAAGTTTAGAGAAGGTTATTACTAAAGAAAAAGTACTCAAATTAAAAATGAGCAACTAAGAGGGATTTTAAATTATAATTTTGATTTGCATTTTTTTTATCTTATATATATAAGTGTGTGTGTGCCCCCAACCCATACCCGGCTTAGAAGTCCTTACCTGGCCATCATTTTTGCAAACGTTGGTCGTAGTCGTATACATCCAATTACCGAAGTGTTCAAAAATTTTCACGTTTTGGCAATGCCAAATTAAAAAAAAATTTTTTTGATAAGTAATAAAAACTAATTTTTAATGCGATCTGTCGGTTTCTATACTAATATTTGATAAAGTTTTATATTCCTTACAAAAAATAAAATTATAAGAAGTTTGACTCCCATACGACAAAAATTGATCGCGACATTTAATTTCAAAATTTGCAATTTTTTTATGTCATTTTAAACTTTTCTTAAGGGATCGCCTAAATAAGTTAGAATAATTCGAGGTAATGAATTTAAACGATGTGCGACAACAAATGTGTATTAAATAGGCCGTACAATGGAGTCACGTGGTGTCCATATTAGATTTTCTGAAAAATTGTCATTGTAGTTTTAAAAATGTGAAAGTTTTCTTTCATTATAAAGGAATACAAACCATTTTAGAAATATCATGCGCACCAAAATATAGAAATGTATATCATTCTGAAAATGAGAAAATCATGCTGATAAATTCAAAGATTCCTTTATAATTTGAAATCAGATACAAAATTTGTCTAATTTTGAAATGAATGCTATCGAAATTTTAACAGGCACTTCACTTTAGCGGACATTTCCTGATAATGGTAAAAAGCCTTGGTTTCTTGAGGGTTCTTTAAAGAGGGATACAACTACATATAGAGATCTGAACTTAAAGATGAATTCATTTTATTACATATTCAACATTTCACCATTTGTCGTAGAGGTACAGCCAAGCGTACTTACTGTGCAGATCCGTTCTGATTTTGATGGAGAACACTTCAGGCCACGATTCAAGGCCTGAAATCATGAAAACTATGACTTGATTTCAGCATATATTCAGCCGAGAAAACTAAATTATGTCATCAATATTCTAAGCTAGCATATGGCTGCACTAAAAACGTGTACAACTTCATACGAAAATTTCCAAGTGTTACTTCAAATTTTTGCTGGCGTTGATAGTCTGAATAATATACATTATTATTCACTTTGTTAGTTCACTGCTTTAAGTTTCTCACACATCTCCTCGCTTAATTTTCATCTTAGTAAATTTACCCCTCTTTCCCCAGTTTAGGATCTTCTTACATTGTATTCTTACTAAGGTCTCCTTACGTTAAATTATGAACTCTGCAAAATCACTGTATACTCAGGGATAAGGATCTGCCCAGGAAATTTTTGTTATTGCCTACAATCATACAAGTTATTTTAGTCAGAGGGTCTCCATTACTCTTCTATTACCACCAGACCACTCCAGAAGAATTTCGGCTCATCAGTATTTTAAGCACTCCATGCGATACCTAGCACTTGCATTTACAAGCATACGTGCGTTCTCTGGAATTCGAACCCAGATCAGTCGAACCTCCTGTTGGCGTCATTCATTAAACCAAGTTTTTCTCCGTTTCTAAATAATGTCCGCTAAATGGGTTTGCATCTTCGAAGATCCGGGGATTCGTGAATTGTCTATTACTGGGAAGAGTCAGATAAAGTGGAGTGTCCATTAATGTAGGTTAGACTGTAAATACCTTTTAGAGTCAGTGCCTGAATTTTAAATTTTAAACTATGTTATGATTATGATGTTCGTATTGTAGTGATTGAAGGAGTGAGGATGACAAATTCGCATCATTCCATGCTCTTCATTAATATCATCAACTACAAGAGAGTAACCGAATACTTTGCTATTTACACCTGCCTTTCTGAAATAGTAGTCATCTTGTTCTCTCAATACATTTACCGTATCAGCGACGCAGTTCTTGGAGTTTTGGGCTTCATCAACCTCTATCTCTACTTCTCTCTTGCAGCATTTTCTTCCAATAATCTCACTTTCATTGTAGGTAAGGCATTTTCCTTATAATAATTGAGTTTTAAAAGAGTTTTAAAACTATTTTCGGTTCCATTCATGCATTCTACTTCAGTTAACCATTATTTAAAAATTTATGGAAGTTAATTTTTGTAACTTTACTGTGTGCTGATAAAATTGTTTTTAGCATTATACTTTCTAATTACGATAGTTTGTATTGGCTAACAGAGCAATTCTCTGTATTTGGAAAATTTTAGAGCCTTCAATCCGAAAATTTTAGATCCTTCAATAGCAGTATAATATTATTCTCTCTGCCCTTCATTTACACAGTTTACATTGATGCGGATTAATCGATAAATAATTAAATTTAATTATTTTGGAATGATAAGAAATTTGCTGTCATAAACAACAGCGTAAAATAAAACTGTCTTCTGAAAATATACTGCTGGTCATCCAAAATGGAATACCATGAAGGCATCCAATAGGCTTGAAATCTTTACTATACGTTGATCGCGAAAGAATATGTAAATAGTATTAGCAGATATCCAAAGCATTGACGCCGATAACTCTGCCTAGAATCTGTAAAAGGAAGGAAGAAGGTTATTTTAATTCATGAAATTATGTGTTGCCGCACTATTCTTTTGCATGAGAAATTTCAATATGCCTTCTCGAGAAAAAAATGGCAATTATTCGAGAAGTATATAGGGATTGTGGATTATTTTTACGAGAAATTAATGCACGTGATAGATGAAACAGTGATGCGACTATGCAGTCGGTGGGTGAAGAAGGAATGGACCATAGACAGGAATAATATTTAACCAGCCTTTCGTCACGCCATCGGATGAGGTATGAGGACAGGTATGTTTTGTATATGGCAATGACCGATCGCAGAGCAAAATCAAGAATCCTAGAGCAAGAAAGATCTATTGCACAAGAAATGAAATCTTTATAAGGCATCTATTGCTGTCATTACTTTTAACTTTACACGACATGCGTATGCGGCTGCAATGCATCACAACACTTCCATCATACAATTTTTTACCAGTCCGTCATCTGGAGTAATAGTTTGGGGTGCCACTGGATTTTACACCTGTATTCTATTAATGCACTATCAGTACAGTCAACAATCACTGTCATTTCTCTGAAATCTTGGAACCTTTAATATTCTTTTCAAGTCTTCCTGCGGTTATTTCAATGGGACAATACGTAATCATATGTGGCACGTAACGTTCAACAGTTCTCCATTGCCCATTAATCGCACTGCTGCCACGGTTCGCCCGTTCTCCGGATATTTTGCCATGGTCCGTCCGTGATTGGCAAATGAGTGGCATACAGCTACTGCGGTTATATCTGATGAACTTTGGCAACGTGTAGAAACAACATGCCAGCTCACATCTCAGGCCTCTTATTATCAATTCTGAAGGTGTCGCAGCAGTTATTATCAGCCATAGCAGTTACATAAGAATTGTTTGTCTAATTTCATTCAAGTTTTTCGACAGAGCTGTTACGGCTGATGCCTTTGCGGAAGTTGCGAAATCTTCGCTTTTCAGAGGGAAGATTTCAGAGGGCTTTTCCGGCCTGCAGCATTCCTTTGTAGTAGGAGATTAAAAACAACTGACACGCGTTGAATGCTCTGTAGCAGTGAATATACGACGTCTCAGCAAGATGACTTAGTTGAATCGGTAGTCAGGAAGGCCATCAGTCGTTTACTGGAGAGTCAAACGAAATCCATTGTAGCGGAAGTGTTAGGAGTTTCCAAAAATGTCATTTCCAGACTATGGAATCGTTTTTGGACGCTGGATATGTTTGGGAAATTCGGGACAAGGTCGTGTTATCGTTTTAAAATAAAAAGCGGGAGCTATATGCGCATTTCGTTAAAAAAAAAAAAAAAATATAATATATATATATATATATATCTATTTTAGAGAAATAAAGTGGTCAGAAAGAACGTTTGTATGCGGAGATATTTGGCTGATGTACTGCAAATATTTTATCAGACAAACCAAGAAAATAAATAATTAATTATACAACAATAATTATTAATTTTAAATATATTTTCCAGAAATCAATCAAAATAAAAACTGAAATTTTCCGGAAAATCTTGTTTGGAGACCATTTGGTACCCCTCTGCGAATGACACCCGGGCATCATATACCCCCTTGCCCCCCTTCGCTACGCCACTGGTTCTATATCTCTGGTTCTACTGGGTCGATTGACGAAATTCAAACTGCGTTTTCAAAAATCGGACTTTTTCTGAAATGACATGTCAATTATTTTCCATATTTCGATTTTACGGCTCAAATTATGTCTAAATAATTAAATTTTGTAAAATTTGGTGGGAAATTTACGAAGAAATTCAAAAAAGGGATATTGTAACTAGTATTTCAAATCCTGATAACATCCCATACGCTGTCGGTGGGACCTAGATAGGATGTCCTAAGGATATACTGGGATGTGACATTAAGCACTCAGGAGGATGAGTTTAGGAGGAAATTGGGATATTACGGGATGTCCTGAGGATGTTGTAAGTAGGACTTTAAATCCTAATAACATCTCATCTGCTGTCGATGAGACGTAGATAGGATGTTTTTAGGATATATGGGATGTGTTTTAGGAGTTTGTGGGATATCCCGGGATGTCCTGAGGATGTAGTAAGTAGAAGTTCATATCCTAATAACATCCCGCACGCTGTCGATGGGACTTAGTTAGGATGTCCTGAGGATATCCTGGGATGTGACATTAAGCACTCGGGAGGAGGTGTTTAGGAGGTTTGCGGGATATTCTGGAATGTCCTGAGGATGTGCGCATATCCCGCGAGCAACATCCTTGGGATAAGGATGTTTTTGTGTTATGTGGGTGGCATATTTTTTTTAGTTTTCGCCAAGAATAATTTACTTGGCAAACTTCTTAATTTATAGCAATCTATTTTCCTTTTCTTTCTTTCTTTTCTTTTTTTTTTCATTGTAAACGAGCGAGGAAAAAGTCAGCCTTCATACTTTCCAATAATTTTAACAAAGTGTGTATTATCGTTTGGCGCTATTATCGCTCAAAAAAAAAAAAAAAAAAAAAAAAAAAAAAAACTGAAATGTTTCAGATTTTAAACTACGTCCAAAGGGCGTTTTTACCATTGTGTGTTACCTTTCTTATAAATATCATGTTCCTCGCACTTTAAAACCATAAGCTTGCAACAGCAATATCGCAAAATAGTTTAAAACGAGCATATCTTAGAATTTCCGATACAGAGACTCACGCGCGGAGATAAAAATGTTTTTCTGCACAACGTTGCCATTGCTCGCTTTGAAATCCCGAGTTTGTTAATCAAAAATCGTCAAAGTTTTTAAAAATAGGAAATCGATCATAAAACAATTTTCAAATTTCAAATTGGTCTTCCACATGCTCATATTCGTGGAGGATTACGTATTCAAAATTCGATGACTCTATGTCCGTTTTTTTTACACAACGAGAAATATAATACATTTATGCAATTTTTCATTATTTAATTTCTTCAAATATAATGCAGGACTCTAACATTTGTGGCAACAGTTTGAAAAGGGAACCGACATTTATGAGTCCGCGCAAAATGCCAAAACGAACTAATAGTCCTTCGGAATTCAAATCCCTTTGGACTAAAAAAAAAAAAAAAAAAAAAAAAAAAAAAAAAATCTGAAATTTCAGATTTTAATTACGCCAAAGGGGCGTTTTTTAACGTTTTGAGTGTTACCTTTATTTGTTAATATCATGTTCTTTGCACTTAACCATAAATTCAGTTCAAGAGCATATCGCAAAAAATGTTAAATTAGCATATTTTAGAATTCCGATATACACAGTCTCGCGAGCTGGAGATAAAGTTTTTTTTTTTTCTATATAACGTTGCCATTTCTCACTTTTAAAGCATTGAGTTTGTAAATCAAAAATTCGTTAAAGTTTTACAAATATAAAATCTATATAAACAAATTCCAATTTGGGATTCATATGCCCATATTGCAGTAGGATTTCGTCATTCAAATCTGGCTCTGTACATTGTTTTATCACAATGCGAGAAATAGACAATCATTTATGCAGATTTTTCATTATTTATTCTTCAAATATAATGCAGGACTCTAACATTTTGTGGCAACAGTTGAAAAGTGAACCGCCGTTTATGAGTCCGACGCAAAATCGCAAACGAAAACAATAGTCCTTCAGGAACAAGCCCCTTTGGACTAAAAAAAAAAAAAAAAAAAAAAAAAAAAAAAAAAAAAAAGACAAATTTTAAAACGCTCTAATATGTAAATTCATGTATATTTTATAAAATTTTGAATAAAAAACTCTAATCTTTTGCAGGTGAGCCTAGAAATACATCTCCTTTAAGATGATGTTACGAATTTTATAGGTTATAATACAAAATGTTTTTCGAAAAAATTATAAAAAATATTTAAAAATAAAAATTATAAAAATAAATCATAAAAATGTGCGAATTCTATTTAGATTAAGCCTAAATTTCGAATGCTGGAAGAATGAATCAAGTAAGTTTAATAAAAAAGCGATATTAATAAACATATATCTATTTTAATTAACATTGAGGAGCTAAAATTTTGAGAGCTACTAAATAAAGATAGATATAATAAATAAAGATAGGCCTTTCCTTAGATAGAAATAATAACTCAAATATCTTTTCTTTTTAAGGGAAGGAATACCTTAGTCAGTTATCAAATAAACGTAACCTACATTTCTAGACATATTATTTATTTGTATTGCTTTTTTATGTTTTATTTAAGGAGTTTAGAATACGATTTCATTATACATTTTCTATAAAGTCAGGTGCTGAGCTAATATATCTTGTACTATAATATTCTGCCTGCCCTTCGAAATATCTATTTTGGATAAAGTAAAACAGCGCTTCTATTGCCCCATGAAAGAACAAGTTAAAAAAATATTAAAGATTTGTTGTATTTTCATTGTAATATTTTTCATAATTAAAATTATTGTGGCACTATTTTTGTTTAAATATTCATACTACATTTTAGAAGTGTATGTTTTAAATAAAAGATTTCTTTTTTCTTAGCTTTGAGTTTGGCACCTTTAAAAGCATTTGCGATAATCGCTCTGCGTTCTTCATACTCAAAAATAATTGGAGAAGACGAGAGAGGTAATACTGAACTACATTTTATCAATGCAGAATACTGATATTTTGTTCTTAAATTTAAAATTTGATTTCTTATACACTACTTTTAAATTTCGCTTCTTTTTTAATTTCAAGTATGTGGAATTAAGTCATCTATTCGCGTATTTAATGAATGTTACAAAACACTGAAAGAGCTAAAGCTATTTCATTTTCTTTGCATACACAAAAACCTTCCTTCTTTTTGTTTGCTTACAATGAAATGCGAAAGCGGAAACAAGTCGATCGTTTTCACCAGATCGAATCGGCAAGAAGAAAAGAAGGTGGATTATTTTCAAAATACATTTTTTCGGAAAATACTGAAACACTAACTTGACTTTACTACTACGTACCTTTACTTTTTATTTTATTTTGTTGTTAGGTTTCCAATAAGCTTTCACTCACAGTTTCTTTCAGTTATATTAATTTAAATAGACAACCACTACCATCCACTAAAATGTGTTTCGTCTTAACTAAAATTTCAAAAATATAGATTAAAAATTATGCTTGAGAATAAATGCAATAATAATCAATTAAATGAATCTTAATGAAAAATAACGTTCTGTTTATTTACAGGAACGTTTCTGTTCTATAACGTTCTGTTTATTTACAGGAAAAGCATTTCTTTTTCTTTCCACCAGCGAAGTTTCTTCAACCCTTTTTGGATACTTCTTGCGCGTGAAACTTCATTTCGTTCTTGGTGCTACATTCCCTTGTCTGCCTGAATTAATTATTTGCACATTCCTGATCATTCCCTTTTGCACTTTCATGTGAGTACAATCGAATTGGAATAGTTTTATAAATATATTAGTCTCCAATGTTAAATCTAATTTCTGAAAATCATTAATATCCAAAATATACATTAGGGAAGCCAAATTTCACCAGTAAGACGAATCACTCACTTGAATAACGGCTTTCAACGCCTTTATCAAAAGAACTTAACGATAAATAGCTAAAAGTAAAAATGCCCGTTGGTTAACTGAAGAGACTTTTCCTTTGTGGAACAAAGTATAGTGAATTCAAAAAGGTATCTGTAGGCTCTTTTCAGAAATTTAAATGATATAGTTTAATTACATGCTGTTAACAAGGTAAATAAAAGCGATGGTATAGGAGAAATATCCTATTAACATATCATACCTCATCCGTAGTCAAACAGATTGTCTGTCCACCTCCTAAATTTCCGTCTGATATATTTCATGGATTTAAAGGACATAAATATGCTACCCATGATATACAGCTGAAAACTTCATTTCCAAACATATTTTCATAAATATCCGCAAGGATATGCGTTTCGTTCGAAAACTGAAGCCAGAAATCCACTTAGCTTTAGAGCGTACACTACCACATAACATCATGTTTCAAGTTACTAAACCTAACTTATGTAATGCGCATCTTTCGTTTTTTTTTCTGGTAGTGTGCATTTCTTCCCGATGAGAAAACGGGATAGCTAACTCTCTTTAAAATGAATCCTATATAAATAGACCAATGGTCTTTAGTTTTTAGAGAACTTCTATTTACCTCATCCGTAGCCAAGATGATATAAGCTGAAGGATCCTATTTTTTTTGTATTGTTTAGTACACAAATTTTGTTTTTACAGCTGCCTGCATATTAGTTACTTTAACACATCTATTTTGCCACATAATCAACTAGCTTCAGATTAGCTTAAGTGTAATAATTCTCACTGATATCATTCCATTGTACCTTGCCGTTAATGTAATAAAACTCCAAAGAGGCCTTCTGCAAGCCCATATCAATATAACAACTCATGCACAATATTTCATGTTGATCTAGTCATCACATGCTAAAAGAGAATTCTTTATCTCTTAGTATCTGCATCAAATCCTTGATATTTTAAAGTTATTTATGGGTATGATTCAGGATTTGAAGAGCACTATTTAATCATTGCTTTCGCTATAGTTAGTATCCAGTGATTGTTATCAGATTTTGAAATCAATGAATCCAAGATAGCTACACAAAGCGACATGCGAAATCTCAGCTCTCTCCACTCATCAGTGCCCCAGATGACAGACGTCTTGCCCACATTGCTATTAATATTAGTACATACATACCATGTATCCCAGAAAATTCGGTACGTTTACAGCACCAAATATCTGCACTTATACTGCGACGACATCTGCACGAATTGTCACAGAGGTGACCATTTCTTTGACTTCTTTTAACGCTACAAAACAGGAATTCACGCCTAAAACGTTTCATTCAGCAATGCACTTAGATGCATCAACAGCTTAATGGCTTTTCCGATGAATCTCGCTTTTGCTTACAGCATCATGATACGATATGTTGGTGTGTGGAGGCACCGACGGAAACGAAAGTTTGAAGTTTGTGTTCCTCATAATCATACCGGCTCAACACCAGAAGTGATGGTAAAGGGTGCTAATGAGTATACACCCTGTTTCATCTTTTCAATCTTTAATCCACATAATCATTATTTTGATACAATTACAGTGCTAATTACAGTGCTTTTGTTAGAATCGCTATCAGCGGCGTAATTAGAGCTCTTGGGCCTCTAGGCAGAAAACATCTGTGGGATCTCCAAGAAACAAGTGAAAAGAAATCTATGATTTTTCAGTGCTGATGATTTTTGTTGGGATTAGGTTAATTATTGAGAAATATAAGAATGTGTTAATAAGGTATCAAGCTTGAAGGCACGGAATAAAAGTTATGCTTAGGAAAAATTGTAAAATGTCCAACCTTATTCGTTTTCATCCTCCCCACTGGATTTTTAGGTCAACAAAATTTAAGAAAGGAGTAAACTGGGAACTTCATCCTGTTGGTACCTCCCTCAGTTTGTCTTATCAAACTTTGCCTTTTAGTAATAAGAGTTTTAGGAGATTTTCCTTTCGTTGGCACATGCGTTGACAATAAAGAAAGATATCTGTATAGAAAATAAACAAATATGCCTTGTTAAATATAGAATTCAGAGAAAACGTATAGAAGCAGACATGTGAGCACTAGATTGGCGAAGATTTTATATACAATTTCATTTTGAATTTTATACGAAATCTGAGTAAATCTAAAATTTCCTTATTATAATGATTACTGTTTTCAGGAAACGACTAAATAATTGGTTAAGTTACAGACTGGCAAATAAACAGTGCAACAGTTCAGGAAAAAAGTTATGCTATTAGTAATTCTATGCAGAAAGAAATTACGCTGTTAGTAATTCCATGCAGAAAGAAATTGTGTCTTTAGTAAACCATAATTTACAGCTTAAAAATATGAATTATACAAAATTTTTGAAGGACTAATTTGAACCCTTTTTGTAATATAAATAATATACTACCTTTCATAAAGTATATATTTTTATCCGAAATTTCATGAATAAAATTGTTTGAATGGATACTTTTTATAAAAGGTCCTATCCTTTACTTTTTTTCTTCTTTCGATCATTTCTAAGTTGTTGATAATTAAAGTAATATTCTAGCTCATGAATGTAATTAATAAAACTGATGGTCAAAGGTCTCTTCTACACATAAAAAATTCTGATTTGTTAAAATTTGCATCTTGCTAATTTCATTCTTACAATATTATTTATGAATTCCTGGACATCATTTTCTCAGTAATTATAACTTCACGAAAATGATAAGATTGAGTAAAATGAAATGCATAACGGACTAAAACTTTTATGTATTTCTTGTTCAATTCATCTAATCTGCAGGCTATTAATTACAAGCAACCAATCTCTGAATAAATAAAATTGTTGCAAATTTCCTGCCACATCCTGGGTTCGCTTTCTGGGAGCAAAATACATCGATAGTTATTCTCGTTGAATTCGAATGTATCGATGGTTATTGGTATGGTCAAAAAAGCTTTCTCATATTTTTATTATAAATGATTAAAGCTTTGGAAGAACACTGAATATAAAATTTTTATTTGTAGAGATTTTAATATGTTAGGAATGATATTTCTTAGATGCTAGGAATTTCGATATTTGGAAACTGAAACAATCCGCACGGCTCTCGCCGGGATTCGAGCTCTGGACCTACCGAATATGCGACGAACGTGCTTCCAGTTACACCACGAAGGCATGCGGAAAGGAGAAAGAAAATACCTTATAAATTCCTTGTAGAGATTCGTCATAGTATTTGAAAAAAAAAGTAAAAATTTGATTTAATTTGCTTACTGTACAATGAATGATGCTCGAAAAAATTCTGCAAGTCATTTCCTTAAGGATTGACTCTAACCCGATGAATCTACTTCTTGTTATACTGAAAAAAACATATGAATATATTTTTCTCGGAGTTTAACAGCCCCAAACACTTTTCCATTTTGTAATGGATCCTTCATCAGATGCAGTGCTACTCTCATGGCTCTTATTTAAAACAGGATTGCTTCCATTTACATCAATGCTCAGGCTTCCAGTTATATACTGTTGCATTCTACGAATTCGTGTATTTGGAGTGATTGATAACAACACTTGTTGAAGAATCGAAACACAATTTCAATATTATACAGGACAGTTCCAAAGACGCGTTACAGTCGTCCAAAAGCTACGACAAACGCGCTGAAACAATCAGCAAGGTAGCCTTCAGACTATCAGGCTATAACGGTGAAGACAGCTTCACGGCAAAGCACTAATGTACAGCTCCTGACTCAGTCTATAGCTCTCGCTGAACTCAAGACACTACTAAAGAACTCAACATACTCTAAATACTCCTACTCCGCGTACATGTTCACGCTGAGTTTATGATGTATTGTCAATTTTCTTGCCAAATGTCGCCAAATGGGAGATTTTGCTCCAAATCTGGCAAATCTTGCCTTTTCTTGCTACCTTTTGGCAGCCCTAAAACCGCTTTGCGGTGAAGCTATCTTACCGCAGCTGGGCGTTTCGCAACAGTATATATGTATATATATGTTTAAAATCCCTACTTGCTTTCTGAAACGCATTTAGGCTTCAGACATTGCATAGACAACAAATTCTCCTGTTCTTCTCTCCTCGGGATAATTCTTACATTGGAAATATCTTATCAGACAATAACAATGTATTATTTCTGAAAATTTCTGTAAAGAATGAATAATTTTCAGAATTGGATTTAAGATTTCAAATTTATTACGAAACATAAGTGTAAGTACGAAAAGAACTTTGAACATATTATAGTGAATTTGTATTAAATATACATTATTTGGCACATGAATAGTATACAAATTTATTTTGTGTTATTTATCATTTTTCAATAAAAGCCAGTCATGTAAAAAATACATATACATAAAGATAGGAATAATCTTTTGAAACATGCTGCGACATGTTTTTATAAATTGTTATGACTGTGGGAAAGTTTTTAAAAATTTTACAGTGCGTAATATTACTTAAAAACTACTTAAGCAGAACGTGAAGTTAGAAAATAGTTAAGCTACTTGACGTTTACTAAACAAGAACTTCTCAGAACTACCAGCAAAAGTACTCAAAGAGATTATTTAAAATAGAGAATATTTGGCTGTTCCGACATAGTTTTAATTTAAATCAGCATCTGGTTAGAGGCTGAATTTTACTTGAGAAAAGTCCCAAGAAAGTTTAGAAACCTGTCAGGAAAACTTTAGAGAAAAATAATTTAGACACAAAATGAAGAAAAGAGAAAGTTTTCATTTTTTAATAATAAAATTTACATTTTTCTTTAAGAATACTTGTCATTACAACTTTTCATTAATTCAAAAATACTAGACTTTAGTTTCAGCTGCCTTAACTAAAGGAACTATAACAACTTCTTCTAGACTGTATTATTTAAGAAAAGCTTCTAAAGCTGTTAAAATATCGCGTGCACATGAATTATTCGATTTGAAAAAAGCCTTGTTAGGTCTTTTCAGGAAAATAGAAATTATAGAAATAGTAGAACTATTAGGATTTTTTTTAAACAAGAAACACGAAATTTCAGCAATGTCCTTTCCGGGATTCTAGCCTTGCATCTCCTGATTGCTAGCTGGATTTGCTATCTAATATACCAAGGAGGTATGCAATAAAGAAATGACGAAAGAGAAATTTTTTCCACTTAAAGGGCGACCAGAGAAGAAGTTCATTTGTCAAGTACAGGTAGTAACAAATCATCGCCTACTACATTTTAGATCGGGCACCATTTTTAGAGTCTATTATCCTTCTTCCGAAATAGGAAATATCAAAAATCAGGCATGCCTTGGCCGGGGTTCGAACTCTGGATTTCCCACTCTTTGGATTGTTAAATGCATCGAGGAAGGAGAAAATTCTCTACAGAATGCTGTCTTTCGTTTAAAGTTTTTTCTGTGATTTGGAAGATGATACCCAAGTATCTCAATGCTAAGGCAAGCATCCTGTAAAATTTCATTACAACGCCATTCGTTATTATGCCCACTTTTTACAAGTAAAATTTCATTATAATTACCAGTCTGAAAGCTCTACCGAAACTGTACATTAAATCCATTTGAACTCATAGCAACAACACATTATTACGTTCTTTCTCTGTTGAATGTGAAGGATTGTTGTGACGAATGTAACCATCATAAGGAAACAATGTTAAAAATATACTTTCAGCGAATTTTAATTAGCTTATTATATCAAATAAGATTTCAATATCATTGAAAAAAATTACTTCTGTTATTAGTCAAAGAAGTTAAGATACTTTTTGTTAAAAATGTGCATGTATTTAAACAGGTATTGAAGTTATTGTGCATCCCAATAATTTAAAAACTAGTTATACCTATTCTGGTATTTGAAAAAAAAAAAAAAAAATGTAGAAAACTACGAAAGGAAGAGAGCCAGATAAAAATTATGTTTATGTGCTTTGTACTCCCAAAACTTAGTCTGTCAGAGTATGGATCTCAGCGAGTACCGCAAACGACCTCGGGAGGGTACTAAGGAAACCACTGCGACTTTTGTTTACGGCAAAAACTTTTGCACTTTCAGGGCATGGTAGTTTTGTGCGTATTCGTGGCTAATCAACAGTTCTCATATCTTACGTTTGCTGATATCATTTATGATGAACAGCTAATCTCAACCGCTTCAAAGTATCATAGTAAGTTTTGACCTTGGAGTTAGGGAATATTTTTCACTCATAGTCCCTTTCACATCGAAAAATAAAACATCAACGGTATTTTTGTAAACTCTGCAGTAGGGTTCTCAGCTAGAAGAGAATTTCACTCTTGGGGGGGGGGGGACTTAAATAGTTTCATGGGGAGCGAGAATTCGCTCAGCTTTTTATTTACATATTTAGTTTTAGTTTATGAACATAAAACCTACTTTTATTCATGTTTTGGTATTTGTCAACATTTTTTGTGCTTTTTCTTGGTGAATTAATCAACCGCACTAAAAGTCGTATAAATAAAAAAAAAAAAAAAAAAAAAAAAAAAAAAAAAAAAAATTATATGTATGTTTCGAGTTTTGGAAAGGGGTGATCATATAGCAATGGTGAAATGGACGCACGTGGTTAAAAAAGGATGGGGATCACTCCTGCTCTGTAGCTTTTCTAGCCTTAGGAAATTTAGCGTATTGCTTCAATTCAGGGTATTATAAGGGGTTGCCGCTTTTTCGGATGGCCCAAACTGTCCTTTTACTATCGATAGGCAGCTTTTTGCCACCGATAATGAAATGGCCGTTGTTTATCGATTACGAAGGTTTTAATGTTTGGATTCGTGTATAAACTTTGTCAGAAGGAAAATTAATATCGCGAAACCTTGCAATTTAAAGGAATACTTTGCTGACACGAAGTAGAAACTGTTAAAAAAATTTGCTTATTATTATAGAAAATCATAACCATTCGATGATAAGAGTATGTTATATATCATACGAGTTATGAAAGTAAATGTAAAGATAATGTATGTATGTATGTGAAGTAAATAAAATTCTCTAGAACGCAAACACTTTATTTGGTTATCTAGTTGAAAGTTTGGCCATTTTGTTCTTAAGTATTTATCAACATAAATTTTTATTAATTTTATTGCCTAAGATCTAGTTGATGTTTCCAGATCTGGTCCAAGTTAAAAAAAGAAAAAAATGTTTATAGACAATCATATTCATTAATTTTGTTGCATAACGTGTAATAGAACTCTGTTTGATTTTTATTTGGTTTCATTGACAGCTATTGCATGCTTTTTTTTTTTTTTTTTTAAATAGCTGATGCTTTACAAAAACCTTCCATACTATATTAAACATTAAACAGGGTATACTATGATAGATTTGAAAATTTTTATTGTTTTTCAGAAACTCAACAATTGCCTCAATGACTACTGTATTTTCATCCTGTCTTATTGTATAAATGCAGTCTGTTGATTTGAAATATAATAATTTAACAGTCAGTGTGTAAAGAAAATCCATTCTTTAGTTTTATAACGAGCAACGTTTTCAAAATAATCTTATAATTAAAACAGGTTTTCTGAAGTGTATTTATTTCTTTAGTTATGTATAAGTCAATGCTACTTAGCTTGTATAATATTACATTACTGTCTATTTTGACTGGTACCAGTAGGCTAGCAGATAAGATAGCTGAACATTGGATGTTTGATCCAGGTACAAATACTGGTGAATGGGATAGCTGTTTTTCCTTATGTATTATGTGAATACAAGTCAATTTCTCATAGAAATACCTTCTCAAAGGCATCCTTTACCTAAGGTACATAGCTCTTACTGTAGTTACCTTGTTTTGTGTAACTTAGCATAGCCGTCAAAACCTTAATAATTTTAATACAAAATAACAAAAAAATTTTTTTGCTACCATATTACCATAACAAATTTCACAGGATGCACCAAACTGTGTCAACCATGTGTATGTGCATATAACAATTCTTCAGTTTTTAATAAGCAGCATCACCATTTTTGTACGTTTTTTTTTTTTTTTTTTTTTTTTTTTTTTTTTTTTTTTTTTTTTTGTGTGTGTGTGTGTGTATTATCGAGTTACAATGATTTTTATAACTCATTTTATTTTTATAACAAATCATACTTTTTTTAAATGTGAAATTAATTTTAAAATATGCACTTGTGGAATTTGTCTGCAATGGATGAAATAGTGGTGTGAAAAAATTCTGAAAAATAAAGCTGTATCAAATTATAAAGTTACAGAAGAATGGAATTTGCTATGTTAGTTGAATTTAAATTACCCGGAATTTTTCTCATTCGCTGTTGCTATACCACCAAAAGAAAGCCAATTATGAACAGCATCCTGCAAACAAAAACTTGCTTGTAACAAGGTTTATTGATTGATTGGTACAGACTTTAATGGCATATTTGTTACCAAATGAATCTAAAGCAAACCAATATGAAGGGTAGTTTTACAGGTTAACTTGTTTTCAAATTAGCAACTCTGTAAAAGGGATCATCCAGCTGTACTGACACTACATGTTCTTTTCATAGCTTGTTATTTGGTTGTTGTAACAGGCAGTTAAGATAAAAACACTTGTAACACTGCTTAATTTTTATGTATGGTTAGCCAGTTACATGACTATAACATTTTTCCACTACTTTTTTTACACTGTAAATCTTGGTTTAGAAAGTTATTTACCAAGATTTTGGGATGTTGTATAGGAATATTCATATGGAACAACTACAGCCAAATGTATTGTTTCAGAAGAGGGTATATACTCTTACTGAATCTTTTCCTGCACTTATTGTTTGATTTGATATTTCCTGTATAGTAGAATGAGCCATCATGACAAACATAGCGTCCTGTAGCTCTTTCTATATAATTCCATTCAGATATTCACACTTTTATTTTGTAAGTTAATGCAGAAGACAATACATATTTACATCTATTTCTGATACTTCCAATTTTAAGGAATAATCATGGAGTCTATACTGTTACATAGAAGATGCTAAAAAAAAAAATACTTAACAGGAAGTTTAACATTATTCATGCAACAAAGGAGCTGAAGTTTATTGCATTTTTAACAATATGTTAAAACTCATACAAGCATTTATTTCTTTTATTATAGATGTAAATCAATGACCAGTTCCTAAAGTAGTGAAAGATAAAAGTCAAGGAAAAAATTCTCAGTTCATAGTGCCAAAGTATTTTGTTAATATTGATAAAATTCAATTAAAAAAATTATTCATGTTATTATGTAGAATTGATGCTAAAATTCTATATTAGAAACAAGTATCAATTAATTGTGTTAGGTAGAATTAATAAACAGTCGGGCGGAAATTTATTAAATGCATAAAACATAACAAAAGCCAGGGCTGTATTTATTCCTCCATTTAAAAAATTGTGGCTTTTCTATCCAACTGTCTTCAAATCTGTAAATTCAGAAAAAACTCTAAATTGTAATTTTTTAGAGAGAAGCATTTCCATCCTCAAAAAAATAAATGTTAAAAAAGAATTGAAATATAAAAATTTGTACATTTTATGCAGAAAGTGAAAAGAAAATCATTATTTCATTATAATGTTTTAATCATAAAAACAGATCTGCTTAATATTTTTTGTAACAAAAACTTAAAGAAATATTTTTATTCTATTGCATGTCCAGTGATATTAAAAATAGTTTTAAATTTTGATTTTAACTTGAAGATGCCCCAGAGGAGTTGCACGATATCTAAAATTTCTCTGAAACTTAGTTTGAAAACTTCAAATTATGTGAAAAAAGAAATGTAGATGTAAACAGCAGTGATTAAAAGTTGTAATGACCAAAATATTTTCATTCCATCAGATTATTTGTTTATTTTGAAGAAGACATTGTAGAGACATTAGGATTTTTTTGGAAGCTGAGAGACGTGAAAAACGAGCAATGCCCTCTCCGCGACTAGAACCATGGACCTCCCGAATATGTGCCGAGGCATGCTACGAAGGCAGGAGAAATACCTTATAAAACAATCCGATAATGAGATAACAAGTAGAAGATAAGAATTTTTTTCTTCTGGAAAATTAAAAAAAAAAAAAAAAAAATTCATATTGCATATATACAAGCCTATACCATAAATTATAAGTATATAAAATTCTTGGATTATCTAATGGGGGGGAAAGTAATAAATGTAAATATTAATATATAAGAAGTAATAAATGTAAATATTTCAATAAATGAATAGATAAAAAATGGCCTTAAACAACCTCATGTTTAAATTACTTGGAGAAATTAATGCCAACAAAAACATTATTATTGAAACAAATGTAGATAATAAACACAAATTGCCTAATGTATTTAATTTGAATATCTGAATCACAGAAATTTTCAAATAGAAAGGTTTCACTGAATAATAATGACCGGGTGGTTAAAAGATAAGTTATTATGATGGAATTAGCCTTTGGGTATCGGAAATGGACATGTAGTTGAAGAACGAAAGCTTGCTTTAAATTACAGAGATTTCTAATACATTAATTTAATATATTTTTAAAAATATTTTAATAATATAATACTTTTCTAATACATTTATTTTATTATCCAAAATTATTTTCTAATTAACAGAAAGGTACGGCGTAAGTTTCAGTGATTAATTATCAGAAAGGCTTCTTCTGAATGGTTTAATAATAATAATACAAGGAAATAAGCTTATTTTACACATGCCTTATGGCATAAGAAAAGGAACTTTTGAAATATATTAAAAACTAAAAAGATTTACATATACCATAGAAATGATTTTTAACTCTAAACAAAATTACTGGTTATCGTTTCGGAAACAAAATTCAATACTTGCCCATAGTAAGACCAACTTGTGAAAGATTTTTTGCCAAACTGCAAATCATTGCGTAAGGAAGAAAATTTCCAAAAGCCATTTTGAAATTTTTAATAATATGACTAATAATCATAAGATACTACTTTTTGATCCATAACATGGGATTGTTTGAACTAACTAAGAAAAAACTTTAAATTGCATCAGTATTATAACGAGCTAATAAATTTTAAATCACAAAATACAGTGAACCATATGTAAGACAGCCAGACACAGCTGCTATAAAAATATTTCTACGGAAGTGGTTGTCTTAGGGAGGGGATAATTGATGCCAATGTTGTTAAATTACCACTTTTGTCGTCCTGGTACAGTTTTCTGTCTACACATTTTGAATCTGAAATAATGCATTCAGCACGGCATGCACACTGGGTGTAAGGAAAGAGAAGCAACAGAAAGAAACTGGAGAGTATGGTTAAATGATAAAAACCAAATCCTTAATACCACTATTGACAGAAAGAGACTAAAATGCAAATAAGAAGCAAATTTCCTTAAAAGCTAACAATGAAGAAGGATTAAAATTAGAATCAATGGTTAAAACCATGGGATTTTTATTGATATAAAACATCAAATGCCAAGTGAAGTGGTGTCTCCCCCCCCCCAGGTATAATTTTTCGATGTGGAGAAATGGAAAACATGATTTTTTTTTTTAACTAGGCAATCGTAGGCAATGCAGAATTTATGAATTTCTTTTCTTTGAACATAATTTTGTGTTGTTCAGTACAAAATTTAGGTCACGCATCTCTGCTGTTTGGGGGAAACTTAAAAAAGAACTCTGTGAACATAATTAAAAAAAAAAAAAAAAATACGGGTCACTAAAATAAATAAAAATTCAGATTCTTTTCTTGTGTTCTAACATATGTAATTATTACTTCAGTAGATTCTAATATTTATTTTATAATCATGCATTATTACTACTTAGGCAACAATACAGACATATATAAATTTTCACTATTTTTTACTGTCATTACATGCACAATTGCTGTTTTTTATTAACAAGAGAATTGAACAAAGCATATCAATACTTTTGTATCAGCAATATGAGTAAGTTTCTGTTTATTAAGACTTTTAAAGTTCTCAAGATGAATTAATTCGAATAATGGAAATAATTGACTGTAGCATAGAGATTTATTCATATTGCGTCCACTCTCGTATACAGCAAGAAAAAAAAAATTAAATATGAAGAGCGGTCCTTATCAATTCCGCAAGATTTTCCATATACAATCTTACCACAATTCCACATAAAACGTAAACAAAGTATCGAAGCTTCGTAATCGATTACAAAGCGCAAAGCTATCAGCTATTCGTCATCGATGGGGAAAGGACAGTCTGGGCCATCCGAAAAAGCGGCGACCATTATAAGGAGGCACAGGACCTTTGGGCTCGTCGAAACGATCATAAAAATACTCAAACTCGAAAACACAAAACTCATATTATATAATAAAAAGTTATACTTTTTTTTACTTTATACCTTTAATAGATTTGGAAATGAAATAAATAAATGAAATGACATTGTAAATAAATAAATAATTCGTAAATTAAAAATTTAAAAATGTACATAAGAGACATGTAAAAAAATTGTCAAATGTTGCACGCATCATAAATTTGAAAATATTGCATATAGAAAACAATTTTTGGTTAAAATATATTCGAAATACATTAACCTCTAATGTAAAACCAAAATATATAAAAAAATCAAATCTTAAATTTGAAAAATTAAGAAAACATTTTTAAAATTTAAAAATATGTAATTTTTTATCACTTTTTGAAGGTATGTATATATGTATATATATTGACATATGTAAATTTTTTGGTTTTAGCATGCAGAATAACAACAGTAGCATACACACTTAATTTTTATAGGCGTAGCATATATGGTTTGATAATAAGACTGCGCACAAACTTGAGAAATTATCAATTTGAGAAAATCGAATTTAAAGATACAATATCACTTTTCTCTAATGTCTATTTTTCAAAACACATTTAAAATGCGCCAGAAGCATAAACTACTCCTCCATTTTGTTTATGAAGCTCATCAGCTTCCTTTTTTTCCCTTCTTCTAGTAATTCGAGCCTCTAAAGTATTGCCCTGGGCTCGTTTCTGTGCGAATTTAATACGAATTCTATTTGCTTCTGCCTCAAATGCTACACAGTTAGCTCCAGGTACACATTCTAGTTCTTTCACGACGAACAGCGTTGCCTGTTTTCCATCATTAAAGATGGCTACTGCTAAATTTGCAGAAATTTCTACAATTTTCCTACTATTGTTTGTTGTTTTCGGACAAAACGTCCAGATCCATGAATTTAGTGACTCGTTCACATTTTGCGTTCGACCACCAATGCATCTCTTTAGCAAGTCTGGGTGGGACAAATCTTTAAATACAGGTTTTATAGCATCCATAACTGCTATAGGAACTGAATTTTTGTGTTTAAAGTTTTCATTTGTGCCATTTACAATTGCTCTTTTGTATGCGCACCAAGAATCAACACCGTCGGGGCAAAAGTCATGAGTTATTTCATTATAATTTGAACGCTTATGGTACCAAATAGACCATATCGCTTTTTGCATATCATGGTAATTGTCAGAATGCTTCCTAATGGCATTACCATAATATGATGTAATTTGTTCTATCAGCACATCCGTAAGTCGAACTTTACCGCTAAGAGGTTTCTTGTCATACAGTTTCTTGCCACGGAATTCCTGTTTTAATTTCCTCAAACGGGCACCCATTCGTTTTTGAATGTGGCCTACACATTCTATCTTCGAAATCGGAACATTATACGGGCTATCCTTCGTAAGGGCTAAGAAAGTTTTAGAATCTCCATCACCTATATAATTAACGCAACGAACATTATACTTTTTTTCGGATCGCGAAAACATATTTAACATATCATTCATTTCCATTTGTGCAGATGAACCTAAATGATTCTTACTGCATACTTTGTTGTGCTCCATTTTCCATTTCAAATAGCTTTCCTTTGAGGATATATTTTTTTCCAGTCTCACAACCTTTGCAGTAGGAACTTGAAACATAACGATCAATAACTTTACCCGTTTCGCCACCAATAATGGAAGTTACACCGAAACGTGAAGAATGTCCTCTGGTTTTCCATGTGCCATTTCCGCTGACAGTCAAATCTGAAGAACCAGTCATTTTTATTTCTTCGTCAGCTGCTATCTTCATACTATTTTCCGCAATATTACGTATAGCAGCATGACGTATGACTCGTATGACTTCTGTGTTACAGGTGGTGCTGTAGATCCATAATTCCACAAAATGTTCTGGATTCTGTCAATCCTTTTCCAATATACCTCATTGCTAAAGTAAATCTTCTGTTTAAATCAGAAACATTTTGTTTTTCACCTACAAGCTTGGAATTTCTTATAGATGTTAGTACTCCACAAGAGCAGCATGAAATATTTATTTTTATGGTTAATCCATATACTACTTCAGAAGTAATACTAATTTTATTATGGCAAATATGACAGCATAAGTATTCTTCTAATCCAGAAAATAATAAACTTTTATCAATGATTGCATGCCCTTCAAATTCGCCGTCATCTGATACTACTAAATGATCTAGAAGTTTTTTGCTGATGCAGAGACATTTGCATCTTTATCATTAATTCTTGTGCACTGATTTCCCCAAAAATTATTCCTTTTCTTCGGTCTTTGACTTGAAGCTCTTTTGATATTATTATTCATTTTTAAATTTGAAAACAAATATCTTTACATAAACGTTTACTCAGTAGAACAAACTTGATATGAAAGACCGAAACAGAAACCCTCAAACGACGTTAGATTTAGCAGCGTGGTAATAAGAATTATCATGTAAACAAACTACCAGCAGTGAAGTTGAGTAGTTGTCCATCATTCTATCTCCTACACGCAAAAGGAAATTAAAAAAAAAAAAAAAAAAAAAAAAAAAAAAAAAAAAAACAGTATTAAATATTTCTTTGCATAATAATAAAAATATGAGCTTGTATACAGGGTAACCAAAATGCAAACAACCACCATATTTGTCCCTTTAAACGAGCGTCGCTTATTTACTGTACGATATAAACTTTCATAACTCAAGAAATAATGCGAATTTTACAACGCGGTTTTTTGCATTTTGTTCAGAAATGTTTATGTATTCATAAAATGTAAAAATCTGAAAATCGATTTTTTTGAAGATTTAAAGGTCTTGTGCCCCCTTAATTGTGAATCAAACTTTTGTCCCTTGTGATGAGCAGAAAATATTTCCGGACAAATCACTAGAGTGAGGTGCTAGATTCGCATTCAGTTAAAGAGCTCTGTGGTATTAATGCAAAAATAGAGAAGAGGATTACTTTCTACAGACTAGATTACATTACTGAGTTCCTAAAAATTGTTAAATTTAATTCCGTTTTCATTTTGATGCTTTTACATATTTGTATTTCGATTGCTGAAATTTTGCTATTTTTATATCCCTTAGGTTTCAGATGATGTCTATCAACACAGGACATCTTTTCCAGCTATGCTACAGGAAGGTGAAAATAAAATCTCGTCAGCCATCCTTTAGTGAGTCAGAGGAATCGATGCACTCCGAATCTACCTCAGTCAGATGAAATGTAACAACCTAAGAAGATTGCGTAGAAAGTGGAACGTATTCTCTTTGTTCTGGAGTTGTACTCTAAAACGCAGAGTTAGAAATTTGAATTTTTTCCCCTTGTTTGTTGGACGCCCAGTGTGGAAATTCTAAAAATAATTTTCAAAATTATGTAAAATATGGTTTTTATAAAAATGTGTACAATGTAGGATAATGTGAGCAGATGTATTAAAGTATGATTTGTTATTTATTCCAGAGCAATAACTTTGCAGTTGCGTGGTTTATTAATATTCTGGTACTCGAGTTAGTCTTGCACAGTATCTGTGAATTAATGTCTCATTTTTTTTCATAGAACTTTTGTTGATACTAATTTCTTGTTTATTAGTCTACGGAACATGTTTTATTACCACTGTAAAATAGGATAAATACTAACAGACTAAATGTTAATAAAACAATTAAATTTTAAGGGAAATCACCCAAAAGCTTTTTATTTTAGTAAAGGTTACCTTAATGGATAACTTTTTTAAAGTACTTAATTTCTGCTCTCGTTACATAGCGAAATGCTTCTAATACCCAGTACAGCTAGAGCTTTCTTCGGAAACTGATTTCCGTGACGAACTAATGCGTATGACTCATCCATTCGGCCACTGACAACATTTTGCTTATAGTAAAGATAGACTACTTATTGAATTTTCTGTATAGCTTACGATGCTATGACTTAGAGTATTTTACATAATATCACTAACAGAGGACGCAATTTACGTGAAATATTGAGATAATAACAAAATCTTTCTCTTAATGTATGGCATTTTGTGACATTAGAATTCAAATTGGTATTCTTTGCTTACATTGCATCATTATTATTGTTTTAAATTATGATTTAATTTTATTTGGATTTTTTTAAAATTAGTTTATTTGTAACGGTTTATATACTTTTGTGGAAAAGACTTATGCAACTATTCAGATTTTGGAAGTAATTCCTCAAAAATTCATCTTTAAAACATGAAATTCATATTACAGCGGCACAATGTAGTACTTATAGGGTGATAAAATGTAATTAAAAAAAAAGAATAGGACACATACAGTACGGAACGAATAGAAAAAGGCTTTATTGACAGAATGGGCGTTGGTATAAAAATCTGAGAGAGAACAACTAACCAAAAAGGTATAGTTAGGGAAATGCCCTCTCCTAACTGCAATGGCTGCGTTGCACCGTTTGTCGATACTCAACTCCAGATTATCTAACAGTTTCTGGAGTATATTTCAGTTGTCTGGTGTTCTCCGGAGGATAGGATAAAATCGTACTGCTAGGCGTCTCTTTAAAGTATCTCATAAATGTTCAATGGAATTTAAATTAGGTGTACACGCTAGATAAACTATTATGTGGATCTCTTTACTTTCCAGGAGCTCCTCAACAGCATGAATCCTGTGTGGCCTTGCTTTGTAATTCATAAACAAAGTCGGGACGCATAAAAACAAAGTCGGGAGCAATGACACCCGGGAAAAGAAATTGGTGGGGGATGAAAACTTCATCAGTGAACCTCTGTCGAAAATGTGGAGCTGCGTCCGTTCGTCCATCATAATGCCTTTCCATACAAACACCCCTGTCTCCAAATAACCCGAGCCGAAAATCATTTGCCAGACTGAAACGATTCTCATCGGTAAAGCGGACGTCACTCCATTGATGAGGTGTCCATTTCCCCTGCAGCGCGATAAATCGGTCATCAATCACTGTTGCTTTCCTTGGCCGACCAACACCAATTATTTTGACAGCTGTACTTCTCATTTGGAAGCCTTTCCAGACTCAGGAAATATCACTTTTTCATTTCCAAACTCTTGGGCGACAGACGTCAATCTGCACCCTTTCTCAAGCTTATTAATGTTTCTAGCATGCGCAAAGGCGTCCTGATTTTTTCGGGTAGCCATACTGCACGTACAGTCACACTTAAACTTGCAGAAGAATGCCTGTAAACATGTCTTCCTTTCTCTTTCGTAAATGGCCTTGCACTGCGCGCTCTAACTACTCGCATTTTGCGTGCCCAAACGTATCCTCTGACGTCATGATCTTAATATTCGCATATGCATCATTTTTCTACTGAGTTCGCTTTTCATTGTACTGATCAAAAAAGTCCTTTTCAAAATTTTCATAGTTGTACTTTGAAAAATTCATTTATTGATTATAATTAATTAAATAAATAAATTATTAATTTAAAATATAATAAACTCAATAAAAATAATAAATTTATTAATTTAAAATGTTGGAAAGAAGCATCAGAATGAAACTTTTTCAATTACTTTTAATCCATACCGAGCACCATTCAAAAATCCTAACTTTAGCTATGGTATTAAAATTTCATATACCTTAATAATGCACTAGATATCCTATCAAAGTAAAGGGAAAAAAACTAATGAGTTTTATTTACTGAAATAAAAATAACCTGTCTTTTTTGACTAGTCTAAAAAGACTCTGATCACCTAGTGCAGTGGTCGGCGAAGTGCGGATCCAGAGCCACATGTGGCTCTTTGGCTCCTTAAGTGCGGCTCTGGTACAAATATCCAAGGAAGCGCAATAATATTTTCATTAAAAAAAAAAAAAAAAAAAAAAAAAAAAAAAAAAAAAAACTTGGTAAGAAAAAAATTACATCTTATTTTGATAAATTAAAATTCTTCTATAAATCGAGAACATGTATAATTTTTTCTTTGAGTAAAAAAGATAGATAGGTAATTAAAATTTTATATTTTTATAAAAATACGTAACGAACATTGAGTTTAATTTTATTAGTTTTCGTAAACGTACACATAAACATGTACAAGCTACCGGCATGCGCGTGCATGCTTTTTATAAAGTAGTGAAGGTACAAATTGGCATCACAGAGGCAGCAGTTGCAGTGTTAACAGTTTTGTCTGATCTACCGTGTTTGCCGTTGTCCTGTATTAACTAAAAAGTTGGTTGTATTTTTTAATCTAGCCGCACATCCCCTTACAGGTATTTTTATACGATTTATTACACCTGCTATGTATGTTTGTGGTTCGGGTGCAAAATTTGTAATCGATTTTTCGATAACTTCTGTTTGTCCAAATGTTGGACGTTTTCTTCCATTTTTGGTCATATTAAAAGTTTTGTTATTCTGATGATGTAAAAAAAATTATTTTTTTTCTTTTAGTGCAGTTACATATATTAATAAAAATAGTATTTTTTTAAAAAAAGATTTTTAATTTTTATTTCATCAATTTAATAATCATAATAACTTTTTACTGGTGGCTTTAGAAAAAAATATATTTGGAATATTTTTATAGGCATCCCAATTAATATGGCTACCAAAAAAAAGCAAAGAAAAACGGAAGATGAAAACCGCGAATTTAAAGTTGAGTGAACCGAGAATTTTGCGTTTATTCAAAACTTCAGAAGACTTCCGACATGTCTTATTTGTAAGGAGAAATTCGCGCATAACAAGAAGTCAAATTTAGAGAGACACTTTACAAGAAAGCACGCGTCATTTAACACTAAATATCCTACCGGTGATACAAGGAAGAAAGCAGTTGAGGTGTGTGTGTGTGTGTGCGATTATGGCAAAGCCTCGAGGGCTATCTGCCTAAGGGAGGAATGCCTTCGTGGAGTACTTTCAAAGAGAAACTGGCTCGTATACACGTTACACATGGGGAAAACCACGAAAACGCCCATGCAGCCAGCCCGTTCGCGGGATTCGAACCTCGGACCGAACTACCAGTGTTCAGCGACTATACCTCTCGGCCGCTGGTGGGCCGAAAGCAGTTGAGGAACTTCAGAAGAGTCAAGAGTCGTCAACTTCTGTGTTTAATAACTGGATGCAATCTTCCAGCAATATTAATGTGGCAAGTTTTGTTTGTAGCCAAGAGATTGCTAAGAGAGAAAACCGTACACAGACGGCGAATACATAAAAAATTGTTATATAAATGCATCCGAAGAGCTATTTAGGGATTTTAAGAGCAAAACAGATATTCAGAAAAGAATTGAAGAGTTACGATTGTCAGCCAAAACCATTAAAGATAGAACAATTAGAATGTGTTCGAATATAACCACCCAGCATATCGAAAATCTGAAATCGGTTTCGGCTTTATCAATAGCAGTTGACGAGTCTTGTAACATAAATGATACAGTGCAAATTTCACTTTTTGTAAGATTTATGTCTCATTCATGCCCTAAAGAAGAACTTTTAGGATTATTGCCCCTCAAAGGTCAGACGCGCGGAGAAGATATCGCCAATGCTATAATTGAGTGTATGGATAAACATCATATTCCCCTCGATAAAATTGTGTCGATTTCAATGGGGTCAAAAGTATGACCGGCGTAAGAAAAGGGGTTGTTGCTATTTTGAAAGAAAAAATTAATCACGAGATACTTGTTTACCATTGTATCATTCGCCAAGAAGCGTTTTGTGCGGAACATTTCCGGAAGAAATTTGTAAAGTTATGAATTAGTGATTACAATATCACTCTATTTTAGCTAAAGCTCTTAATCATCGCCAATTCAAAAGAATTTTTATTTGAAATGGAGAGTGAGTACGCTGATATTTGCTTCAAAACAAGGTACGTTGGTTATCAAGAGGGAACGTTTAAAACGTTCGCGTTCCCTTTTTCCGGAAATTAAGCTTTCTCCTTGAGAAGGGCGTTTTACCATCCAGAACTAACAGACGATCAGGGATCCAAACTTTTTTATGGTAGACTTACGTCTCATCTAAATCAGCTAATCGGAAACTACAAGGGAAAAGGAAACTTAATTTTTTCGATGTTAGAAGAAGTAATAACATTCGAAAACAAATATCTATTTTGCAAAGATTGAAAGGGAAACATTGTTTCACTTCCGAGCCTGCTGAAGCTCGCCAAAAATAATTCTCTATTGATAAACCCATTTTAAAAAAATAATTTTAAATATGAGGGAAGCATTGCTCAGCAGGTTTCAGGAGTTTAAAAAGAGCAGAACAATTTTAGCATTTGTCAAAAATCCTCTTAATGCTTGATAACCGAGTTGAAATTTTCTCCTTTTGAAATTGACATTGGTAGCTTTGAAATACAATTTCTGGATTTAAAAAACAAGGAGATATGGCGTTCTAAATTCGAATGTCTTTGTGTTGAATTGGAAATACTGGAGAAGAAAAAATGCGATCTTAGTTCACAACACAAGTCGTCTGCTTTGAATGACCTGGAGAAGGAAGACATGATCATTTTCAACGCTTGGAATAGTATTCCTGACTCTTACGATCAGCTGAATGGATTAGATTGGATTATTCAATTACGGCAAAGCACACGAGGGCTATCTGCCTAAAGGGAGGGATGCCTTCGTGGAGGACTTTCTAAGGGAAACTAGCTCGTATACACGTTACACATGGGGAAAACCACGAAAACGCCCATGCAGCCAGCCCGTTCGCGGGATTCGAACCTCGGACCGAACTACCAGTGTTCAGCGTCTTTACCGCTCGTGGGCCTACGATCAGCTGAAAAAGCGCTCGTTTGCTGTTCTTTCCCTTTTCGGTTCTACATATATATGCGAACAATCTTTTTCAAGCATAAACATTACCAAGAGTAAACTGAGAAGTCGTCTTACTGATGAGAACTTGGAATCATGCCTAAAATTAAAAACAACAACATACAAACCTGACTTTCTCAAACTTTCCAAGGAGATGCAAGCACATTGTTCGCATTAATAAATATTTATTAAGTATAATTTAGTTTTATTTAGTGTAATAAAAGTTTACTATACAAGCAGATTTGGCTCCCAATTTTTTTAAAAATTGTTGTATGTTCATATTTGGCTCTTTGGCTAATAAGTTTGCCGACCACTGACCTAGTGTGTTGAATATTAATAAGTGTTCCCAATTGTCTTCAATTTCAAATCTTTCCAGGAGAATTTGAAAGTATATTTCTTGCCAGGTTTATTTGCCTTTTGTCATAACACTTGTCTTATGAATTGGTTCAACACATTCAGCTTCTGTAACAGTTAACAAATCAATTTTTTTGTAAAGGTGTCCAAAATCTCATAAACATGAAAATAAATTTTCAGATCTATTTTTTTCTTGAAAAATATTTTACAAAATTTCATCCTTTAAAAAGTAGAAGAGTACTACCATTTTCGAAGAAGTTTTATCTGAAAATTTCCATTATTTTTTTTGAGAAACAATTAATTTGCCGTCTATGGGTACTGTTGAGGATGCAGAAATGTCTCCAGTTTCAGAATCTTTATGCATTTCCTCGTAATTAACGGCTGGAAGCTGCGCAACCCATCTGCAAAATAAGCATGATGAAATATATTTTAGTTTGAAAATCATTTACACATATCTATTAAAACGTGTTTAATTTTTTCATTAATAATGGAAGCTATGCGTGTCACATAGGCCTACAATTATTCCTGAAAGGATAATCTAACCTTCTTTGTTTGTTTAAAAACGCATTAAGCCTATTAGTTTAAGGGCCCAGTATTCATTTTTAAATTAACTGATTATAAGTGGAATTTCGTGATTTACGAAGTCAAACTGCTTGTATTAACATTCAAAAAGTTTAGCTTTACAGTTTCTAGATGTATTACTCTGAATTTTATTTTAGATTGCTGTGTAAAATGTGGATGTAGTATTTAATCATTTATCAAATTAAAACTTTTAATAATTATCACTCATATATCGTCTGTAAGCACTTTTCAGCATTCTGGACTACTAGTGCATGACTAAATAATAAATTAAAAATATCTTACTTTTTCACCTTGCTTTAAAACATATTGAATACATAATATAAATTAATCATAATAAAAACAAACTATCATTTTATAGGTAATTTTAGTTATATATACAAATTATGTTATACGCTTGATAAATTTTATGCGCGGCAAACGACATTTTTGTTTGTCACAGTTGCTGCTGCCAATCCTCAGAATATATTTATATACATATATAAATGTAAATATATAAAACATAATTATAAACAAAAAGAGAGAAATTCAGATCCAAATCCACAAAGAAATGAAATTAATAACAAAAAATCCAAATTTCCAAATAGTGTAACAAAAACTTGGAGTTTAGAACTAGCCAAGTGTAAAATAATAAATGAGGTGTGGGATCTGGAAGAAATATAAAATTAAAGTAACTTACCCCCAAAGGATGACAATTCAAATAATACAAATCAATTAATATTTATTACACCTTAACATCATTAAATTTTGAATCAGTACCAGCATAAATTAAGAATATCGCAAGACAGAAGAATAATAGTCCTACCATTTTGAATCCTAACCTCTCGTACGAGATGTGCGTAATATTCCAATCAAAGTAGATCTCATTCCATCAACGCAAAGCAAAGTTTCGTGATAAAAAAAGTCAAATTTTTTGACGGCGGAAATTTAGCTAGTTATTACAATATATTTTTGAAGAAGCACAAGGCGAATAGTTATATCATCCGGAAAGTTCTAGCACTGGCACATGAATTCTTTTCGAAGATTTTTAAATTGTAGAACATTAATAATTATCGGCAGTTGATAGGTATATAGATCTTTTTAGTTGTATCTTCAGTTCGAATTTCTTTACTTGAATGCCATGGCTCTACATTCCAGCAGCTGAGATGGCAGTCAAAAAAGAAGGACGCAAAAGAAAAGCCAGGATGAGGACAGCCAGAAGGCCGTCCTACACCTTCGGAGCCCAACAGCAGACGGAAGAGAAACTGGTTGTAGCCGTCAATTTCGCCTTGTCATTCAGCGGTCGCAGTGAACACACTTGACGTTGAATAAATGTGGAGGCTTGCCTGCACACCAAAATAAAGACTAATTTTTCCTTTAAAAGCTTTACTGTAATCTAGGCTAAATCTCTAAGTACTTCTAATACTTGCTGGTATCAAGAATATAGAAATAATGGAATGTCAGAGTTCCAACTGATTACCTGTAGACATAATGGCACTCCAGACAACCAACCCACTTGCTAAAAAACAGCAATCGCCTTGAAAAACATTTAATTATATTTACTTCATAACTTGTAATACTGCAATCTTATTTACATTGGACAAACTAAAAATAATATTAGTTTTAGGATCAACAACCATAGAATACACATTAAATGTTTGCAATCAATAAAAATAGTATTAATTCTACTACTAAGGAACTAGAACATTTTAAGTTCTATATTTTACACCCAACAATGCTCTATCCATATGGATTAAACTCTTCAATAAATAATAAATCTGATTTTTATGCTACAGTTTATGAACAGTTCCGTGTTGTTCAGCAGGAGAACACGAAGAGGTACCAGAGAACAAAAGAAGAAAGTTAAAACTCTTATAAATACTACTTTACTACAATCAAAATTAAAGGAAATGTTTGATATGCTCAGGTTTAAGAAAAATATTCTTGATTACCTTTATTCATTCCCTCACAGGCATCTATTTATAATTCAAAATTTCTTCAAAAATAAGTTTACCGGAAATAGCATCATCAAAGATTTAGTACTTTATCAAATTTTAATTTAACAGTAATTCATTCAAGTATAAAAGACTTTTCTATACTATCAACTTTCTTCATAGTAGTTTTGATGATCTCAAACTGCACAAAGTCTTTAAACAAGCTAAACAAAAATTTCCTACAATAGAGTCTAAAATAATTGTCTGTTTCAAGTACAACAAAAAACTGAGTTATTATGTTACAAACCATCATTAAAAACAAGAAATAGTTCTTCTTACTAACATTTTACAAGAAAATGAGATTCCAATTAACCTCATTAACTGCCTTCTAAAAAAAGCTGGAATAGTATACATCATATAATTTTTTTTAAAGTAATGAATTTTTATCTGAAAGTTCTAATTGATAAGGATAAAGAAGCAAGTTTTAGAAGGTTATATAGTATATATATGTATATATTTGAATTATTGTACATTTTTCTTGACTATACTTTTATTAACAGAGCGCCTACTCTATTCTTAGTCGTCATTATAAGCCCATGATATGAAGAATTTATTCTTTTCTAATCGTTGTTTCTTTTTTCCTTTTCTTATTGATTGCTTTCCAAATTACACACACACACAAATAAAATTAAATAAAATAAAAAATAAAAATAAAAATAAAAATTACTTGCTTTAAATTCGACTTTGGGTGATTTCTACTTGTCATCGCCAATTAGTTTCGCCAACGACTCCAAACTAACAACCATTGGCGCCCTCTTTTGAATTTCGATCTTTTATTTCTTCGTTCACATAAGGAAGGTTGGCGCTTTCTTATTTTTCTTCTAGTTCCATAAGGAACTGGAAGGTTGGTCCTTCCAATTCTCTGTTAGTTTTTATGTAAAGTTTATAATTATATTTTATTTACCTTTATTTCACTAAAATATGTCTAATTATTATTCTTTTCCTATTTTGGACATTACATTAATACATAAAGATATTTTTGTGTGGTATTTCATTATATTTAGGGATCAACTGCGATGAGGAGGGTTTCAGAATTTTCGGGTGAATTGTTAGAATCAAATAATTTAGAACGGTTTTTCTTTCTCTGTATTCTACTGGTTTGATGAATATTGGTTGAATTTCATATATTTATGGGGAGATGTGGATTTTATTATTATTAATATCATTTCCTTCACGTCTTAATGGATTTGGTTCAAATATTTTCTTTTTTTGTTTGTCTATATCTGATTCACTTTCAGCAGTATTTGCGCGGAAATGGAATTGGGGTAATTTCTTTTAAAATAAAAAGATTTGTGATATTATATAAAATATGATATGTAAATATGTAAAATATATAATATGTAAATATATAAATATAACATGTAAATGTATAAAATACAACATGCAAATACATATAAAAATGAAACAAAAAGTAAAACATATGAATATGTAAATATATAAATATAACATGTAAATACATAAAATATAACCTATAAACGTAACATATTAAAATGAAACAAAAAATAAAAAGTATAAAAATGTAAGTTTATCCGATTTACATAGTAATGAAATTAAACTGAAAAATATACGCCAGCGTTTTAATTTCAAAATTATAAGAGGAAAAAAAATGTATTTTTTTTTTGCGCAGACTCAGATTTTGATTAAAAATGTATAATTTTCCTCGTGTAAGTGGGGGAGACAAGAAAATGTCACACAGAAGCAATATTTAATTTTATTAAATTTCTGGACATCAAAAACGAGTAATAACGTACAGAATTACGTTACCATCTTTTTTGGCGTCAGACTCAAATGATATCTATTTCAGAAAGTTCCAACCACTTTGCATGTAATTCACGTAAATCCCATTAGAAAGTCTAGAACTGAGAAATACTAATGGACGGAAAAGAAGTCGCAAAATAAATATTTGGTTTACATTTGTACATAATTTTTACGCGATTAAATATACTATATCAAAGAGAAAATTAGGCCAAATAGAATTTTTCTGCAGACATTTAACTAAGAAATGAAGCAGTAAATGATGAAATTCAAAGCTATAGAATAAATTTAAAAAAAAATCTTTTAGATAAAATTTTAAAAACTCTTAATTAAAATTTACATGTAGCGGCCACATGAAGCCGCATTCTTAATTCTGACATTTTTTTTTAAAATTTAACCAGATGCTATATTTTTCGTTTATTTTTTGCCTGCCGGGATTGGCCAACTAATGTACAATTTAATTTATTTCTCATAGTAAAATTATTTCTAAATAATAACTTATTTTTGAAAAATTTTGATTTAGCCTTTCACTGCGAAAAAAAAAAAAAAAAAAAAAAAAAAAAAAAGAGGGGCAGTTCTATATCTTCTCTTCTACTGGGCCGACTGACTAAATTCAAATTGCGTTTTTCATGTCTCGGAAGGGCCCACCAGCGGCCGAGCGGTAAAGTCGCTGAACACTGGTAGTTCGGTCCGAGGTTCGAATCCCGCGAACGGGCTGGCTGCATGGGCGTTTTCGTGGTTTTCCCCATGTGTAACGTGTATACGAGCCAGTTTCCCTTAGAAAGTCCTCCACGAAGGCATCCCTCCTCTTAGGCAGATAGCCCTCGAGGCTTTGCCATAACCACATACACACACACACACGTCTCGGAAGCGCGACTTAGGATATGTAGTAGATTTATATATAGCATTGTTCTAATATAGGTATTCTGACACAAAGTCGGACTTTTTCTGAAATAACATGCCAATTGTTTTCCATATTTCAATTCTACGACTAAAATTACGCCAAACTACCAAGTTTTGTAAAAATCGCACGAGTAGTTTTTAAAAATTTAGCTCTCAAAATTATTCCTACTCAATGTTAATTTTGATATATATTTATTAACCTCTCTTTTTTTATTAAACTTATTTGATTCTTCCTTTCACATTTCGAAATTCAGATTCATTTCGAATAAAATACACCCATTTTTTATGATTTATTTTAAAAATTTGTATTTTAAAATAATTTTTTAAAAAAATTGAATTATAATCTATAAAATTTTTACCATCATCTTAAAGTAGACGTGTTTCTAAGCATACTTGCAAAAAATTAGAGATTTTTATTTAAAATTTCCGAAAATGTAATACGTGAATTTATATATTTTCGCATTTCGAAATTTGGCATATATGTTGAAAGCGGTAAAACATCAAATGTGGTTTAGACACTTTGCTAAAATTATTTGGAAGTAGAAAAGGCGTGACTTTTTTTTCCGCTCTGCCATAATGGAAGGGAAAGGAAAATTGGTTGCCATATATTAAGAAGTTTGCCAAGGGAGTTAGTTATTCTTGGCGCAAACGGAAAAAATTGGACTAAGACAAATTTTTGAATTTCTCCGTAAATTTCGCACCAAAATTGTGCCTAGGTATTTCGCACTAAATACCTAGGCATTTGTCAGTCGGCCCTGTAGAATGGAAGATATAGAACTGTCCCGTAGCCCCCTTTTTTTACGCAATGTACATCTGTTAGTTCAAAAATAGGCTAGATTCCTTTTACATTTTTCGAGACACCAATTCTCTGATGATTTCTCTCAGAACAAACAAAAAGGAAAGAAGAAATCCTTACATGTACACTCCAAGTGGTAGTATGGCAAGACCTCCAAGGATTAAGAATATTAATCCGGGAAAAAATGATAAAGTAGCATTAAAAACTTGTGATACAACAGATGTCGCTAGGATAGGCAGAAGAGCCTCTGCTGTGATTAGGAATGAAAATATTTTTCCTGTAAAGATTCAGAAGTTATAAATAAAACAGTTTTATTTTCTTTACTAATGAATTATTACGATAATTTTCATGAAATAGTCAAAATTTTCAAATTTATTTAACTAAAGATGAGATTAATAGCTTATGCTTCAGATTCATTCTTGCAGAAAATATATTGCTTACATTGCGAGTTCTAGTTCAGCATCCCTTTAACAATTGAAAATTTTACATATACACTATTTATTAGCGTGTTCATTCCTTTTCCTATTAGCTTTACCGCTTGAAAATCGGGAGGGGAAAAATATGCAGTGCATATGCATAAAAAATATGCTCTTTTTCAAGGGATAGCTTAAGTAAAAATCATAGCACACACAGAGACACACTAATACTATTATGCTATGTATTTCATAGACATCAGTTTCAATAATATTCTTTTTGACTTACTACTTTCTGATTTGGTGTATAAATTTAACACTATTAGTTAACAAGTTAGAAGTTTCTAATAAATCATAGCTAGAAAACCGGAGGGAAGGAATACGCGAGGACAACATGTGAGGAAATACGGTAATTCTTGGAAAAAAATTTGAACATATTATTGCATTTGAGAACATGTATTAGAAATTTTCTTTGTAAAATACTAGGTAGAACACATTTATATGTATATGTATGTATATATACAAAAGATTGGTCAAAAAGTAACACATAATCTACTGTAGCTCAGTAAGTAAGCATGAGGAGAAGTACAATTTTGAAGATACAAGCATTGGACCTTTGAAAATGACGCCTAATATATGGTCTGCTTACTTTGCCGCTTCACAACATCCTTTGTATCCATAATATGAATACACGTATATTCCCTCGACTACCTTCATAGGGTTCTGTTTAGTTTTAATAACAACTATTTTAATTTTCGAGCCTTTCTTGAATTCTCTTATTTCCCCTCGCATTTCCTTACCAGGATGCAAATTAAGCAGGCGAAGAAGAGTATTTAAACTGTTAAATTGAAAAAGTTAGACAGAGCGTGATTTCACTAATGAAGCGCACGTTTGGTATTTTGTCCTCCAGCTGTTAATCTTAGTAGCGGCTACGCATTCTGGCCTTTTAGTTAGTATTTCGCCGGTGTAGGTTTCTGAGTCAGTCTGTTAGATTAAATTAAATTGTGTAAGCAACATTTCGCCTTTTAAATTTATTGTTAAATTTTAAGTTCCTACCTCAAGTGGTCGGTGTTTTGTGTAAGCACGTAAGTCCGTGCCTTTTGTTATACAGCTGGGATAAATAAAGGGTCCTTTACACCCTTTCTATTTTGTGTGCATTTTCCCGCCTGTGCCAGAAGTTGCCAAGTAAGAGCTCTAAGTAGGTCTAGTTACCATCTTATGCTTGCAAAATACACTAGATCTCACACCTTTTACCCTCGAGATCGGAATGAAACAGTGAGGTTTTATTACACTTGATGACTCCTTGAGAGTATTGTGGACAACCTGCAGAAAAACTTTGCAGATATTCACATGCGTTCTTCCTAATCTGCATCATCTTCATCGTCAAAAGCTGTGTAACCAACTAGCACAAATGTTTCTGTTATCCCAGTCATTAGATTACCGTGAATACAGACCCTTTTGTCGCATCTGTGTGCTCCATGAACTATCTGGTAGTAATGTATCTCGCATTTAGGATGAGTTCCTTAATGACTGACCCCTTTTTATCGGTTGTGACTGTTAACCAATCTGCCTGACTGTGAGTTCTCCCGGATGTTGCAATCGCCACGCCAAAACATTTGAAGCCATCAACACATATATTATACTTTGATTCTACTATGTTGTTTCCATAGATAATGACTTCTTGCTATGAATCGAAGTTACTGAATTATACCCGGAAATTTTGTAGAGAAATTCGATAATTGCACCTTAACGTAATGAGTGTCACGCTGATGATCATCCATACAGGTACTTGTAAATAACAGGGAATAAAAATTAGGAACAGATCAGATAGTAAAGAACAAATGCTTCTATCTACAAAATTTCATCTATCTTCTACGTACCAGTACAGAACTATAGTGGACTGTGGATTACTTTCGGATCGACCTTTTTATTTTATACGTTATCGTAAAAGATCGAAATTGAAGAATGTCGACATTCTCCGGTGAGTGTCAATGCATACCAAATACGTCGGTGAAAGACCGAATATTTGGCTATATTCTTATACATTCGGACTATCACTTATATATTTCAACAAATACAGATATGCTCTAATGGATGTCGAAACGAGAAGACGACAGGCAGAAAAGCGTTGTAAAAACTCTTATGCAATTCAATGTGTCATAAAAGTTTAAGTTGTTGACATTACAATGAGTGCATAACGTCAATCGCATAATTAAATTCACTATTAGTGGTGTTTTCGTTTCTCTTTTAGAATATACTATTCGCTTTAAGTTCAACGATTTATTTACATATGCTCTTACTTAAGCTTTCTCCTAGTTTGACATATTTCATAATATGTTTTGATAATAAAGTATGATTTAAAAACGTTGCAAGAATACTTTTATTCAACAATCACTATCAGTACATGGTGCATATCGACATTTGCCGGTGTAAGTGAGAAGTAAGAATATTTAGCAAACATTTCGGCCAAGCAACTATGTGAATGCTGACATTCACCGGAGAATGTCCACATTTTCCAGATTTCGCTCATTCGCTGTAACTTATATTTTCGAAAATTAAGTTTTTGTTTCAATAATATCGGGAATATGTTTGATAACATTGAATAGCAGTTAAATTGCATCCGAAGTAACAGTACCAAATTTTTATAATTTAATTGCGTGGAGTGCGATTTGAGAGTTCATAGTAGTGTACTAAAGATTGAAATTGTAATCACCGAATCTGAACAGTTTGTCCCTAATTTAGGAGTGTATATTTTATTTCAGTTTCACTTGTTAATAGCTTAAATATGGCATAAGTGTTTTTCTTTTTTTATATAATTTAGAGGGGACAGTTTTTTCATGTTAAAATGTTAATTAGATATCAAAAGGTAAGCTTTGAGCCATTTTGGCAGCTTATGGGGAAATTTAAACATAGCATTGCATTAAAAGAAAATCTTCAAATTTTAATTTAATTAACGTAATAAAATTGATCTGCTTTGGTTTTTGAACTCACTGTTTCAATATTTGCTATTTTCCACAGTTTAAGCGAAGTTTCGTTACATAGTAAAAGACTTTATTCCATTAAATGTTTCGTTCGTTTTGCAGAATGATACTATTTAATATTCAAAATAAAATAAATATATGAAAAGGAATTTCTATTTAAATAAGATAACTAAGATAATAATAATAAATGAATTGTTTGCTTGAAACTTCTACTTGTAAGTTTAGGCATCGATTATGCGAAATATTCCATTGTCTGTATATATCTTGATTCTATTCACTTCATATATTCAGAAAATCAAAAATCTAATGTAATTTCATTAAATTTGTAATTACCTAAATCATTTTTGGAAGCTACTTTTGAAATCCTTGCCCGTCCAGCTAATGTGCTCAAACCTTGGAATAATCCCAATAAGTTCGCTAAAAGATTTTCAATTATTTCTTAGAAAATAATTTTAACAGACAATTTATAAAAAAAGACAAATTATTATGAAGTCGCACACACACACATATATATAATCAAGAGGTAACCATTAAATAAAAAGTTATAGAAAACTAGCTAACAGAAAGAATAAAACTCAAAATTAGAACAAAAACAAAATAACATAATAATATAACCTAAAATGTATTAATGTAATATAAAGAATAGTTAAAAATTCTTTGGTCTTTTCCCAGGAGCAGCCGAAAACGTTTCAACAGAATCATATTTCTGAATTATATTTGGAAGATTATTAAAATAAATTCATGAAATAGATTAATAAACATGTCAAGTACAAACAAATTTAAAGTACCTAAAACGAAATACTTAAAACAAAAATATAAGGCCATTACAATTTTTTATATAATATAATTAAAGAAAACTATTCAAAATTAAGTTGAAAATTTTTTTTAAATAATTTATCCTAAAGCACTAAAGTTAACAAGTGGGAGTTATTGCTGACTGCTAGTTATTTTTCGTATTAAATTAAATTGTATTCGTTTGAGCAGGAAAAAAAAAAAAAAAAAAAAAAATGTAGGAAATTAGTTATATTTGGTATGTCACGTGCTAAGTTAATAATTTTTTTAATGGATTCTAATCAAATCATTGACAGCATTTGCTCTTCATATAACGAAATAAAATATCTAGGATAGTTTAGAAGATGATAATATAATTTTTTTCATTACCAGTTATTAATGATTTTCCTTTATTCACGAGCATAGAACACATTTCATAGAACCAAAAATTTTGACTTTTGTTTAGAATAAAAATTAAATGGAATATTGGAAGAGAAACTAGTGTAACCAATGTACTATGAAAAAAATCATGTAAAGTTTAAAATTAAGCAAAACAGCAACCTTATTTTGGCACAAATTTTGAATAAAACTCTATCGATTTCTTGGGCGATTTGACAACGATAACTCGTATTCAGGAGTAAGAAAAAAATTCGGCATAATTTCTTCTATTTCTCAGCTTCTTTCTGCTTAATTCTGCATAAATCCTGTTTATTCAAAATCTACACCAATTTAGAGTTGCTGTTTTGCACAATTTTCGATGGATAATAGTTAGAGAAAAGAATAAACGAAAGGTGTGAAAATATCTTACAAAGAAAATAAACCCCTTTGGAAGTTGCAAGTCCTGTTCCGACATTCTTGAGCAAAACGGAAACTGTGCCAACAATTCCCAAGGCTGGATCATTCAACTTGAATCGTCTGAAGAGGGGTACAGCAATGAGCACAGCCAGTGTACTGATGACATTGAAAATTGCAGATACTGTTGAGAAAGTTGTGTTATCCCATTGGTACATATGATGGACGTACATGAAGCTAATAGTGGCCCCTCCTATATTTTCAAAGTAAGGTAGAGGTGTTTAATTTATTGAAACATAAACTTATTTCGCAACAGTTGCTTTTGGAAAGATTTAATGGAAATCTCTGTGTGCTTTTCTTTTAAACTTAATAAAAAAGAAATCATTTATATAAATACAAGTTTGCTGTAAATTATAAACCATCGCTTAATCCTCGTGATAGAAATTTCGGAACTTTGTAATTAGTGTTTGGAGACTCGATTATGAGAAGAAAAATAATCATTTTCATGCATTTAACTAGAAAATATTGCAGTTTTATATTATGCAGCATTATTTCATCATCTCTTATTGAAACTCAGTATGCAGTGGCAATAATTTATTAACTAGGTACACATTATTTGAGAGATAAAAATTTTTAAAGTTTTTGTGATGTCTTAACAAAATGCAAGAAATGTTTTAGAAATTACAATAAACGTTGTCACAAAATCCTACCGGGAATGTAAATTAATAATTGATAATGATATTTTTGATTATGTAGGTTTTGTCTGCATTTCTCTGTCATTGCTATCAGTATAATTCATAAACGAGAGAAGACGGATATATGAATATAATTTGAATGAACTGAAAAATATTTTGAAATAGCTTAGTTTCTTACTATAGTTACTTCAAGTGCTTTTTGGATCTCAGGAAATTTTAAAATATCGAATGAGCAAAATAAATGAAAAACTTAACTGATTATTATGTGCGGCTCATTTTAGTGAAATGTAATACTTATATTTGATTTTACTTGTATTTCTTTTTAATCAGATTTGAAATCTCTCATAACGTTCCTAAGGCAAGGAAACCTCATGTATAGGAAACACACGAAAGTTTGAACAAATTAGTGCGCATCTTTCACTTCAGATTTTATTCCTATTTTCTAAAGAATCTGTGGCATTAAATAATTTCTAATTCCAAATTTAAGATAATTATAGCCTTAGAAATATTTGTTTATTTAATAAATTTAAAAAGATCTTTTAACCCTCTAACCGGCAAGGCCGTATATATACGGCCTAAAATATTTTTTGCGTTATCTGTAAGGACGTATATATACGTGCATATTAAAATATGTCAAAGAAATTAAGGCAATATATTAAAAGATATATTAAAAGTACCCAAATCCAGGTATCTCAAAAATGCCAAGAGAAGTTTTACATTAAAATCAAGAAAATAATTGTTTCTTATAGTAGTTTTGGGAAATTTGTACTTTCATAGTAAAACCCCTGGCCGGTCAGAGTTAATACATCGGACACATTGTTGTTGTTGTTTAATATATATAGTGTTGTTGTCTTGTTCCTGTATTTCATGGAAAAATGGTTGCCAGAGACTCAAGGAGGCTGGACTTCTACTTCCAACACAATTTTGAGGGAGAGCACCCCGAGGGAACGTTCGAGGGTCACCCACCCCTTTCTCCTACCATCGAATCACACGAGAGAACTTTGGGCTCGCTGTATATTTAGAGTACTCCCATGCTGAAAAGACACTATACATTTACAAACATCCATGCCTTCTCCGGGATTCGAACCCGAGCCCTTCGCTACCACAGAAGACTCCCCTAACCACTATACCATATGGGCGGCATTCGATCTTAATATTATTGCTGAAACATTCATATAAGCTATTCATGAAATTTCTAAACGAACGAGTTGTACGAACGAGTTTGCTCTAGTTGTAATATTTTAATTCGGAACACTGAAATACAAAATTAGTCTGCTTTTTCAATGAATGTTTTTCTTATAAGGAATTCCGTTGTATCTTTTAATTAAGTTCCTTGAAAGGAATATTATCTAGAAGAATATTTATTTTTTAATTTTTAAAGAATATGTTTCTTTTATGGTCCAGTTGACAGAGGATTTTATATTATATTACTATGAAATACTCAACATATATCGGAAATGATTTATTTAAAATGATATAATCAAAAGTTTTTATAATATATTAAAATATTACTATAATCAAAACATAATGGAAATGACTCATTTAAAAAACAAGCGTGCAAAGCCTTTTTAGAACATGTCATGACTTTTATTGACATCTAGCAGCAGTCCATAATTCATAAGAAATTTATTTTTAATGAATAAAGAATTTTTGCTGTGACAATATCTTAAAATGGCTAAATATTTGAAAACAAAATGCGGTAATTTTTTTTTCGCAAGGAAAATTTTGCTACAGAAGTATCTGAGATGTTGCAAAGAGTTTTCAAGACAATACTTTATTAGAAAGAAGAGTTTTTGAATAGTAAGATGGATATGAAAGGCAAAGATTTTATACCAAGCGATCGTCATGTATTGGAAGGAATGTAAAGAAGAGATACAATTGGAAGGCTAAATTAAGAATATCGCTGAGCATGTTTTTGTATCATTCGGATCTTGTCCAGTAACTTAGAAAGATCATCTGGGCTTTCTCGAATCGTACCAAAAAATGTTGCATTTTTTTCAAGCAACAACCAGGAAGATGTTTCACAAGGCGACTGGGATCTACAGTTTTAGAAATAGATTAACAATCAAGTGAATTGCGTTCAAAGGGAAACAAGATCGAAAAATTTATACATTAAAATTTAAATGCATTAAAACTCATTGTTCATGCAAATAAAAGTTAAAAGACATCTCTCAGGGTATGGTGACAGCAATTTATGAACCCGAGTTGCTCACAAGAAAGGCTTTATCATGGGTTACAAGATTTTTCAACTTCTCGAGCTCAGGAAAAAAGCTTTTTGTGTGTGTATGAGTGTGTGGTCTTTACTAGAAAAGTAGGAAAGTGTCGCTTACTGTTATTTAAAAAAGTAAACGGTTTTATGCTGCTTTTCGAAAAAAAAAAAAAAAAAAAAAAACGTTTTTTCACAGACAATTCAGTATTTCTCATTCAATTAATTCAGTTCTCACTTCGTTACAAGGCAAAATACAAAAACTCAAAATATCTATAAATAAATAAGAAACAATTTCTTAAACAAAAAAATTAAAAAAAAAAAAAAAAAAAAAAAAAAAAAAAAAAAAAATCTTAAACACTAAAAACAAAAAAAAAAAAAAAAAAAAAATTTAAAGAAGGATTAAGCATGATTTAATTCGCAATAATAAATGAAGGCGTTATCTTTGTTGTTGCTAAGCAAAGTTTCTCTAGATTGGCAACAAATCCACTATCCTGCTGTTTCAAATGTAAACAAGTAATGGACGCCATCAGAAAAATTATTAGGCTTAGCGGCACTTAAACAACTTTAAAATTGTTGATAATTCTAAAAATATTGCATACAGATTTACTAAATGCATAAAAATCTTAACCGGAAGATAAGAACAACATAATTCAATCATTTTTAAAGCAAAAAATGTACAATTTACAAACATATAAGAGTAAAGAAACTGAGATCATTGAGCCTGGTAACAGAGTGGATATATATATACACTGACTACCAATAAGTATTTGGACACCTATGCGAATGACGATATCTGTGGTCCTAAGGTACGTCACGGACTCCGCCGGTATATATCGTGTAGGAAACAGCATCGGCTTTAGTCGCATGCAAGATGCCTCGCAGTTCGGAGCTCTCTGATTTCGAGAAAGGTATAATTATCGGGTATCACAAATGTGTCCGATTCTTAAGGGACATATCTAGCGGTCTGAAGTACTCAAAATCGACAGTGTCCTATGTAGTTAAGAAGTGGAAGGTGAGCGGTGATTGTCGGAATGTGCCCCAAGTCGGCAGACCAATGAAACTGGGAGATAGAGACCGACGAGTGCTGTCCAGAGAAATTCGGAAGAACCACACCCAACCGATGGCCCTCATCCGCGAGGAGTTTCAACAGGCATCCGGGAGTATTGTTTCAATGAATAACATCCGTAAGAAAGCACATCTGCTTGGTTTTCACGGTCGTGCTGCTGCCCATAAGTCTTTGATCACAAAGTCCAACCGCGCTGCTCGGTTAATGTGGTGCAAAGCACTTCGAAATTGGACCGTAGATCAGTGGAAACGGGTTCTTTGGAGTGACGAATCAAGGTTCACCCTTTACCGTTCGGATGGCAGGGTCTGGGTCTGGCGTCTACCTGGAGAATGTCTCCTGCCAGAATGCATTGTGCCAACAGTCAAGTTCGGCGGATGTGGGATTATGGTCTGGGGGTGTTTCTCCTGGTATGGGCTGGGACCCTTAGTCCCCATTCATGGTAAGCTCAACTCCGATGCCTACTGCACTATTTTGGATGACAATGTGCTTCCTACGTTTTGGCAGTTTTACGGGTTGGACCCCTGTTACTTTCAGGACGACAATGCCAGTTGTCATGTTTCGACGTTAACCAAGGCTTGGTATGGTGCCAATGGAGTTCATCGAATGGACTGGCCTGCCCAGAGTTCAGACCTAAACCCTATCAAGAACCTCTGGGACGAGTTGCATAGCCGACCTCAGGGGTGCACTAACAGTGCAAAATCGGTGAAGGAACTTCTTGGTCTTCTCCAAGCCGAGTGGAAGAAAATACCACTAGCATTTATACAAAGACTTGTGGAAAGTATGCCCCGGAGGGTCCACGCTGTAATTACCTCTCGTGGAGGCTCTACCAACTATTGGTTTTGAATTAAGTTAGTTTTTCTTTTCTATCACAGGTGTCCAAATACTTATTAGCAGTCAGTGTATAAATATATTTATATACGTCTGGTGCGGCCGATTGCAACTAAAATACGAGGTGCACATCTACATGTTATAGCAGTCCTATATACAAAATTTCAACGTTCTGAGGCAACTCGTTTTTGAGTTATGCGAGATACGTACGTACGTACGTTCGTACAGACTCCACGAAAAATTCTCTTCAGAATTCATTTTAAAGCAGTTTTATAATTTTTTTGGAGGAACGCCAACATTTATTCTATCTTTACGTACAGATATCACGCAGAAACATTATTAAATTGCATTCGATAGCGGACAAAATGGATATTTTCGTTGAAATATGCTGCCTGAAACTTTTCGCGATTACAATACTTCCTTTTTACTTCGTACAAGGAAGTAAAAAACGGTTT